CTAGTACAGACGGCCTTTAAGGTTAAAAAAATCACAGAGCCTCCTGGGCGGTTCGGATTGACACGCCCCGCGGTACGGACTTTGAGAAACCCTGCCCTACTGAATCCAGCCGGGGGTCTCAGTCAATCTGACGAATTTCTGACGAATTTCATCTGCCATTAACTAAAACTTTACTTGCTAAATCCATATTCACTTACGCAGGCCCTAAGCTATGGACCATTCTTGATGTTAGCATCAAGAATGCCCCCAGTTTAAATTCTTTTAAATTCAAATTTGAAAAAAAAAATTGGCGTTATTACCAAGCGTTAGCTCTCCCTCTTTAAATTTATTTAACTCAATAAAATACATTTGGATATTTTGATTCATTTTGTACTGGCCATCCGTATTCCAGTCGGCCCGTGTTGTGTTGTGTGTGTTATAGGTAAGAGCCCTGCCCTCTCTCGTTCCTTGTCTCCCTTCTTTCCCTGTCCCTTCCACTCCTTCTATGTTATGTCTATTTGGTTTATGTATTTGTGCGTTCCTTTATCATTTATATACTATTTTTGTAACTATAAGTTATAGGGGGCTGCAATCTACAAGCCCAGCTTTTCAGCAGTCCCCTCCATGACCAACCTATTTTATATACCTGTTGTATACTACGGACCAATTACAAATATGTTGTTAAGTTTCATTGTTTTACTATGTACTTTATTTATTTTGTTAGAAATGGAAATAAACGAAATGAAATGAAACTGAAATGAAATATAAATACTGTAAGCATGCGTGACCAAGAGAACGCGTACAAAGAGTTGCTTTTTTGTGTGATTCATTTTACATTGTCAACAACTTAAATGGTAATCCCTATCGCACTTCAATATGCTCAAGGGGCTACAATAATTATTTTACAATACTTGTGTAGGAGTACACTTTTTTGAAATACCCGTTTAGGGTGTGAATTCTTGAGAAAAAACACGCGAAATCCTCATTTAGGGTGTATTTTAGCTTCAGAAGAAATCCTCGTTTAGTGGGTGTCTGGAAAACCTGTGGTCATGTATGCCTACGGTATTTCTACCTGACTGAGTTCCCCCCCCCCCCCCGGGTACCGAATATAAAGGTAGTTTGATATGTGTCGTTGCACAAAAGCAATATATTTATCAGATAAAAGACGTAATTTCATGAAGAAAGAGAGAGAAAAAAGTTATATCAATTAAGAGAAAGAGATAGATAGTGAGACGGTTGGAGACTTACCTCTTTGGAAATTCTCGACACATAAGTCATCACGATACCCAACGATGCGATGAAATCGCAAAAAGAAAGATGAAAAGTGAACATATTTTTCTGCTTTCGTAACGCAGCGTAACCCAATATGGCAGACATCGAAAGTAAATTCAATACTACCGCTGAAGCAGAAATTGCCAGTGGGAACACTAGCGAGACAGTATCCAGGGCACTCATGGTACTATGCTTTTTTGATTATCTCGTGAAAAGTTAGAAATATATTTTTGTATCACTAAATCAGTGAAGTTAAAATGTAGATGTAATTTCGACTACAAATTATGTTAAGCGGTTTTACCGACCTAAAAGTATGGACACTTAAATGCTAACCATCCGTTACTTAACATCAATTTTTTAAAGAATGATAACATTAATAATTATGCCCTACTAAACAGCCTCCTTGTGCCTTCGCAAAACCTTCCTGAATAAAAGTTGTATGATATATTTTGCACAAAGCTGACGATGATAAGGTTTTAACTAAGTGCTCAGTAGAGAAAATACTAAGAAACATTACGTTATATAACTAAGAAACATTACGTTATATAACTGCTCAGCCAACATGATATTGTGTGTGTGCGTGTGCGTGTACGCGCGGGCGTGTGTGTGATTTGCGTAGGGGCCATAGACAAACACAGTAGTGGTGTGTGTTTGTGTGTGCGTGTGTGTGTGCGTGTGTGTGTGTGCGGGTGTGGGCGTGTGTGAGAGTGTGTCGTGACGAAGTGATGTGATTTTTTCCCACCTCATCTACAACTGTATTCAAGTTGTAGGAGGCGGGACTATTATAATTATAGCTGTAGTTTAGTAGGCATGGCATGAATTATTGCTTACAAATATGATTAACGGCGATTTTCACTGACAAAAAATGACCCCCCCCCCCCCCCAGATGTCAGCTTTTAAATGACCAAGCGAAGTTTAGGCGAGCACATGCAGAAGACAAACTATCCATTGGATCTCGACGCCACATCTCATGTATTCTTAATACTTGTAGCATATAATAATTGGTGTGTACTGCAAGGTTCTGGAGTCATCAAAATGATAAGAAATTTGGCCCAGTCTTGGTAAAGTAACAAGCACTGTACACAGAAAGATGTATATATATTGCATACCAAATCGGCCCTCTTTTTTAAGCCGTTACTTTTTATATTTAGAATATGAAGGCATTTGAAGAGCCATGCTTTTCAGGGAACATTTTTTCCCTAATGTTCTTCTACACTTGCATAATACAATGATAACGCTCACAAATTATTTGTTCACCTCTCCCCAGAACTCGACCTTCTCTTTGAGGCCCATGTGTCAGCATTATAATGTGTTAGCAAATACGAGAACGCTAAAGTGATAAAGAAGACGGTTGAAGGGGGTGGTGCGATTTGGTGTGGTTTGGTTTTATTTTCCGTTTAAAAATTAAAATACAAACAAGAATACAATTTACCATTATATAATACAAACCAAGAAATAAAAACGGCTGGAATGCTCTATTCAGAACCAATATTAAGATGGCTCTGTTCTTCCTAGAGGTCCAGATTGTTGTTTGTCTTCAGTTCCATTAGACTGAAATGACACAGCGAAGTATGATAGCATCCTTAACTTGTTGGTATTTCTTCAAAAATATACTTCATCAAATCTTATACATTTACAAAATGTTCCATGTATAGATTTAAATGCGACAAAACAGCCGAATTTTATCCATTCTTAATAGTGACCATATTATTTATTGAATTTTATATAAAAAGTCAAACAAACATAATAAGTCTAACATTATTTTTCTTTTATTTGACCGGCATTTTTTGAAATTATCTAAAGCTGATGGCAATTTTTTAAATATAAATTCGTGTTCGACATATATACATTTTTTCTAAATTTCTACCTTAAAAATATTTTTTTTACGAATCATATAATTATATCGATGAACACTTTGCAATTGTTTTAGTATGGAGCATTCAATTGATTGCGCTAAGCTCCCATCAACTTCAGAGTATATATTTCGAATATCAAATAGCACAATGAATATAATCTTTGTGCTGGTCACATGGTACAGGAAACCATAAGTGCGTTAAGAAAAGTAAGTAGCATCTCACAAAATTATGTAATTTGAACATTACAACATGTGATTTTCAGAATTCAACATGAAGGTATATTCTGTTAAAAGAGATAGGAAGAATTCAACTTACTTTTCTCAGTAGCACTACTAGCCGTTCGTAGTAAAAAGATCCTAATCAAAGATATTTTACATAATTATATGATAAATACAATTCAGAAATTCTCTTAGTAAGGTTCATGCAAAAAAACTCAACTTTACCATTGGTATAAAATTGCAATATTAATATAAAATATAAAATTGCACTCTGAATAAACTAAACGTAAACTCCATTTTCAGCTTTCGACTTACAAATGATCATATACAATATCTACAACGGCATTCAAAATCGAAGTATCACATTTATGTTAATTTGCTCGGCATATATTCTTACTAGATTGTGGGGTTGATGATAGTCGTGTTCAATTATTTAGACTACTAAAATGTCGTTCTATATCTTATACGCTATGCTATGTGATCTAATTTACAAGTGAATGTAATGTTCACATTTAATAATATGTACAAGCTTGCAAAGAATCCCAACATATCTAAGAAAAAGCAACTCACAACACTTATACTTTGGGTCTTCCCAAGGATATGATCAATTTTCTATTCAGTTTTTTAGCAAATCAAATAACAAAAAAAAAAACATGTATCAATGTGATCAATTAACATTAGCAAACCGTAAAACTGCTTTGAAAGTGATGTTCCATATTTCATTATGCATATCCTTCTTCGATGTTTAATCTGCTGCAAAGCAGGTTTGTAGTTATTCCATCTTCAGCTACTCTGTAACGTTATCCATGCCAAGATTTATTTTTGAGAAAAATTCTTCGTCTTGCAGAGAAATTGGGTTAGTTATTAGTTAACGTTTCATTTCTCACGAAGATGCTAACACACTACAATTTTTAGACGATATAGAGAACTTAATAATCTTCAATAATGGTGGGCAACTGAGTTTTACTCAACATTGTTACAACTGTTAGAAAAGTTTATTTGCATAAAATGACAACTGGGCAAGTATGATACCAGTCTAAAGCCAGGTAATCTTCTATAGGCTACTCCTTTCAAAGTATTTAACTCGTTTGAGAACAAAAAAGGGTTTGTTTCTCATTTCGACATCATATAGCTGGGAGGCAAGAATTATGTTGATTCCTCATTCAATTTATTTTAGTTCTTTATAACAACTTATTTTAATAAATTGTTATGAAGGCTATCAAGATTTCAAAGACCATGTGTCCCTTTTGCATAGTGCACCAAATTCACTAAAAAATTTGCCTCAATCACATGTATTTTATGAAGGTCCTGTCTCTGAAATTAAAAAGTAAACAGTGATCTAGTTTTCAAACGAATCATGGAAAACCGTTAATTTCACAGGCTTCATGTCAGACCCAGTTCTTGTATTTTTGCTTTCAATAAGACATACCATGGGCTATTAATGGTATATCTTTATTAGTATATAGTAGTATTTTTCAAATTATACTGAAAGTAAGATCCGTATGGATATTTTCGTCTTGCTAAAGTAACAAGCACTGTACACAGAAAGATGTATATGGGACTACAAAAACATGTGGCATAAAAATCGGTCCTCATTTTTAAGCTGCTATTTGTCAAATGTAGATTATGAAGGCATTTGAAGAGCCATGCCTTTCAGGGAACATTTTTTCTCTGATGGTCTTCCACACTTGCATAATAACAATGATAACGCTCACAAATTATTATTCACCTTTGCCCGGAACTCAACCTTCTCTATTAGTAGAGAAATTTTGATTGTGGACCTGACTCAATTTGTGAGTTTTCAACTTATTTCTGAGTCCATTATAATTTCATCAATAAGACGTGATGATAATTTCTAAAAGGAAAATACAAATACCGTAATATTCATAAATTTGAGCATTATGTTTAATCGCGTGTGCCGTGTGTTAACTATAATTTGGATCTCACTGAAGTTATGTTCGAGCAATATTTAGGCAAAATCCGATAACAAAAATAAGAAATTCAGGAGGTTTTAAATTGTAATCAATCAAACAAAAATGGGCAACTCTGTGACGTGTCTTTCAAAGTGAGTTGTCTTTCTGTTAATTTCATGTTCTTAGTTGTTGATGAATTAATAATGTATATATATATATCGATACAGGGTTTGTGTAGAAATATATGTGCTAGGATTATATCTAGAGGGCATGTATGATTAGATAGTTTCTTGAGGGAAAATATAATTTCAATTGGAGAGGATCTCACATGATCCGTCACAGAGTGGCCAATTTATGTTTCATAACTTCCTTATACTTCTCAGATTTGTTTCACCAATCTGTTTCTCTAAATTTTCTGCTCCCGTCAAAACTATCTTCATATCAGGGTGTAATTCCCCGAAACAAATCTTTCACGTCATCACTTGTGGAACATTGTGGTTTGCTCCGGATTAACACCAGACGGTAGGGATGTTGTGCCATTCATCGGTATACTGCTGATAGGCTCCATGTAGTCATACTGAGAATCCTGTCCAAAATTGAAGTGAAAAAAATATAAAGATATACCTATTTATATATTAATAAGCAGAATTATTTAAAAAAAAGCAGGAATAAAACAAGAAAGGTGTCAAACATTCTGTCAAAGTGTCAAAACTTACAATTGCGACAATTTACTGGAGTCTCACGAAAGGAAGTACATTCACTGAAACAAAATCCTGCATGCATATAGATTTACGATTTGTCTACATAATGATAATAATAACAATAACATTAATAGTAATAACATAATAATAACGATGATAATGATATTAATTATAATAATAATAACGCTAATGATAATAATAATAACGATAATGATAATAATATTAATGATAATAATAGTGAAAGCAATTACAATAATAATAAGTTTGTTTACCCAGGGGACCCACATCAGCAACAATGACATGTTGTTCTTCGTAATGGTCAGGTACCCATTTACACCTAGACTGAGTGTGACATATGTAGACTTATGCCTTGCCAAGATTGTCGGGCTAGGATCCAGACCCTCTATCCTTGGACTGAGGGTCTAGACAATGAGCCAATATACCAATACACCTCCACATGAATTTAGTACAAAAAAGGGGATGGACCCAAGGTTATCAGAAAGGACGGGGGCCACATTTTTTTTCTACTACACCATTTTTCCTCAGGACTACCATTTTCAGAAACCTTTCAGCACTTCAATGCCTTCATTGGGGGATGGGGCTCGAAAGGAGGGGTGTATAATCAAGAGGGGAAAAAAAATCAAATTTTATCGGAACATATTTAGATAGAATTATAATTTCAGGATATCCATCGACCCTAGTATCGGGGTCACTAGATTCTCCCAATAAAAGAAACTAAACATATAATTTGTGGGTATTATTACATTTTTTGTTGCTGTTGTTTGCTCTTTTTTCGGGGGGGGGGGGGGAGATCCCCCGGAATGTGCCTACGTAGCATAGTAATTATGACTTACGCGATTCCGAGCAGGAGAGACTTGACTGCCTCCAGGTCTCGGGGGTACGATAGTTGAGTATTCAGGTGGGTCTTCGGGTACGCCATTCCCTGCTAAATGACCTATATCTTTATTGAGCTCCACATCATCACCACCACCAATGGCGGATCTGATCAGAGTCTGAAATTCGAAAGAGGTAAATTAGTTCAGTTAAGACATCAATATACTTTTATTGCTATTCCTACATGTCTCAGAACGAATGCTGATGAACAAACTTTGCTTACCTGTTATAGTTCGCAATGTTGAAAATAGTGGAATTAAAATCAAAAGATTAAAAGCATTACATTGCAAATAAAAATAATTACGCATTACAATGAATGTCTAACATACCTACTGACAAGGCAATAATCTTGCACATAGAAATATTATCTTGAAATATATCATTATTGTGTATATTCAACATTTCGTTTTATACCACTGTATTATAATTTACTGGAGTCTCACAAAAGGAAGTACATTCACTGAAACAAAATCCTGCATGCATATAGATTTACGATTTGTCTACATAATAATAATAATAACAATAACATTAATAGTAATAACAATAATAGTAACAATGATAATGATATGATAATAATAATAACGCTAATGATAATAATAATAACGCTAATGATAATAATAATAACGATAATGATAATAATATTAAGATAATAATAGTGAAAGCAATTACAATAATAATAACTTTGTTTACCCAGGGGACCCACATCAGCAACAATGACATGTTGTTCTTCGTAATGGTCAGGTACCCATTTACACCTAGACTGAGTGTGACAAATGTAGACTTGTGCCTTGCCAAGAGTGTCGGGCTAGGATCCAGATCCTCTATCCTTGGACTGAGGGTCTAGACAATGAGCCAAGATACCACTACACCTCCACATGAATTTAGTACAAAAAAGGGGGTGGACCCAAGGTTGTCAGAAAGGACGAGAGCCACATTTTTTTCCTACTACACCATTTTTCCTCAGAACTACCATTTTCAGAAACCTTTCAGCACTTCAATGCCCTCATTGGGGGATGGGGCTCGAAAGGAGGGGTGTATAATCAAGAGGGGGGGGGGAATCAAATTTTATCGGAAGACATTTAGATAGAATTATAATTTCAGGATATCCATCGACCCTAGTATCGGGGTCACTAGATTCTCCCAATAAAAGAAAATAAACATATAATTCGTGGGTATTATTACATTTTTTGTTGTTGTTGCTGTCGTTTGCTCTTTTTTCGGGGGGGGGGGGAGATCCCCCGGAATGTGCCTACGTAGCATAGTAATTATGACTTACGCGATTCCGAGCAGGAGAGACTTGACTGCATTCAGGTCTCGGGGGTACGATAGTGAAGTATTCATGTGGGTCTCCGGGTACGCCATTCTCTGGTAAATGACCTTTGTCTTCATTGAGCTCCACATAATAACCACCACCAATGGCGGAACTGTCCAGTTCTTGGTAGTGGCCCCCATGTGCCCCTCCTTCCTTCAGAGGTGGGATTGTCTCGTACGCAGGAGGCCGATCAGGAGGAAGGGGAGGTCCTTCTTGGTATCGATGAGCTGAATTGTTTGCTGGAATGAGGTCGTTTGGGGAGCAACATTCAGGGTTGGTGCTTGACGCAACGCGTGCTTGTTTTCCACTTCGGTAGACCACAACACAGACAAGGAATGTGATGAGTAGAAAGGCGATGACGAGACTGGTACTTAGAGCGATGGTGAGCACATTGTTTGATGTACCTGTAAGACGAAAATTAAAGACATTATGAGATGATATTTTGCCTTGTATATGTAGTGACCTTTCCTTATCCATCATCAGAGTCCACATCAACTACCCACTAACTCACTCAGTTTGTTATTATCCTTTAGTTTCTAATAGTCGCTTTGTCTGAAAATTGATAAGCGAAATAATCAAACACGAATGATAGCTTATTTCACCGAAATCGTATTATGACTTTTTTAGAATTTTACACATAGTACATCAGCGTCTGAAATTCGAAAGAGGTAAATTAGTTCAGTTAAGACATCAATATACTTTTATTGCTATTCCTACATGTCTGAGAACGAATGCTGATGAACAAACTTTGCTTACCTGTTATAGTTCGCAATGTTGAAAATAGTGGAATTAAAATCAGAAGATAAAAAGCATTACATTGCAAATAAAAATAATTACGCATTACAATGAATGTCTAACATACCTACTGACAAGGCAACAATCTTGCACATAGAAATATTATCTTAAAATATATCATTATTGTGTATATTCAACATTTCGTTTTATACAACTGTATTATCATTTAGCAGCTGTAGAAAAACCGGGCTTAATCTGACAACGGCAATAGGTTTTGTACGGTCTAGTACATGGGCATTTTGGGTGATACTGATTATGTTCCTAAGTAAGTTCCTAAGACAACTATTATGTATGTTCCTGAAGGACATATTATGTACTTCCTTGTAGCTACTTAAAACGATAGCAAAGGCTAATTCAATAACTTATCGTATTGTCTATGGACTCATTTTCGGATTACGTAATTTTTCACCCTGAGCCATGTTCGCCCATTTCAAAGGGGTAACGCTTATACTAGACTACTGAAATTGCCTTAGACTGATTTCTTGAAAGGTTTTGCGATCATTTCAATCGATTGAACATCACATTCATCAAGTTATCATGATGATGTTTGCATAATTGTACAAGATCATCAAACTTTTTGTACCATGCAACAAGTTAAATAAAGTCTAAAATAGTTTGTCATGGTCCTTACCACTCAGAGCTGCAGGATTGGATGTTGATGTTTCCTGCGTAGATGAGACACGTGTCGGGGCATCTAAAATAATATGTGAAACAATCTCTGTCAGAATATTTATAAACTAGTCAGAATATCTTCTTTTCTATCTCCATTACAATTACACAGTGCACACACAAATTCACGCACACACACACGCACACATAAACGCCCCCCCCCACACACACACACACACACACAGCATTGACCTCACGAACTTCGTATACAAAATATACCCTGCCTTCTTTTCGAGGTTCCGGTTGAAACTATGGGCAAGAGGTGACTCCAATGGATCTATTTGCTGAGGGGCGCAGCCCCATCGCAAATGGTACTATTGGAGTCACCGAGTCTCATACATAGTTATACAAACTAAAAAATTATTTGTAAAAAAAACAAAACATTTTAACATTTGACAATTTTAATAACAATTTTAATAAATTCGCCCAGCCGTAAATAGTACTTTTAGTCGAGGTACTTTTTACGGCTCGGGAAAATAGTGTGAATATTTTTGATCATGTGACACATTTTAACTAATCAAAGCCAATCAATTTTTGGTGAAAGATATGATATGAATTGTATACTTATTCGGTTTTGAAAGTATGTTCAATAACTTACTGCCCCCATGATTGTTAGTTCTTGATGATATAAGGTTTATAAGTATTCATAATCAGGTCCATAATGATGTTACATGTTACATTGATGATGTCACGTGTTACTTGAAAAACATATCAGCACCAAATGCAGATATACTATCATGCTAAAAGTTACAAATGCATCATGGGCTTGTTATCAACAAAATGAAATGACTACACTAATACATATCACATGGTTTGGACTTTACACTAAATTACATACAGAAATGTCGTTATACCGTATAAAGAATATAATATAGAGATATTGAATGGTCTAATGTGAATGTGATATTTCGTACCTGTTTTGTCTGGTGTAGATGCCCTTGGGGTTGTAATCTTTGTAATGTCTGCTCAAAATAAAAGAAACCATTTATGATAAAGCCTATCGATGGCAAGGGCGGATCTTGGATTTGTGAAAACGAGGGGCACAACATTCCTGAAGATTTTCTGACATACAAATGGGGATAAATTCTTGGAGTGGTATACAATATATTATGTCCAAAATATGAGCGAAACAAAATGTTACATTCAATATTTTCAAGTAATCCGTTATAGGCTATTTAAGAGCCATATTCCATCTAATATTTTAACAATCAAAACTGAGACATAAGAAAGTAACATATCAAAACCTGTATGCAGGGGCGGCGATTTATGTTAATGACCGGGGGGGGACGAAATGCGAAATTTTTTACAAGGATGTTATGCGAGGGAGCGTAGCGACCAAGCGAGATTTTTTTTTTTGCAATTTTATTAGTCTAAACGCTGCACTCTTGGGCCTTCCGGAGCCTAAACGTGTGTTGCAGTCATTATTCAGTATATGCTATACAACTTGTTTTGCACTTTTTCAAATTTCCAGGGGGGGACGATCCCCCCTAAAAAAAATTGACACGTCCCCCCCCCCGTCCCCCCCCCCGTCCCCCCCCCCCCGGGATCGCCGCCCCTGCCTGTATGAGATTAGTTCAAAATCCAAGTACAAAATTGTAACTTCAAATTATGGCTATTGCATGTTATGGCTATTGCATCGAAATTATTAGAGCTTTTGAAAACGTTCTATTGAAGGGATTTACATTACATCATGCATTATTTTCCTACCTGTAGTGGAACTCTGCGGTGATGTTTGAGGGCTTGATCCATCCGTTGTAATTACTGTTAATAAAATATCAATACCAGTCTGGTAATTAGGAATGTTGGCGTATCTTAAGTGAATATTTGGTTTCAATGTTAAATAACTCGAATTTAAAAGATGCTTTATTCTACTTCATCGGTTAGATGATAGAACAGCCCTATATTCGGCATCACAAGTGTCATAATGTCTGCTCAAAATAAAAGAAAACATTTGTGATGAAGCCTATCGATAGCAAGGGCGAACCTCGGATTTGTGAAAACGAGGGGCACAATATTCTTTAAGATTTTCTGACATGCTAATGGGGGGGGGGGGTACATTCTTGGAGTGGTATACTTAATGTATGCAATACACAATGTCCCAAATATGAGCGAAACAAAATGTTGTATTCAATATTTTCAAGTAATCCATGCTAGGCTATCTAAGAACACTTTATTTCCATCTAATATTTTAATCATACCATAACTGAGACGTAAAAAGAAAAATGTTAAAATCATGTATGACTTTAATTCAAAATCCAAATAAGTACAAACTTGCAATTTCAAATGACTCTAAGTTATGGCTATTGCATCAAAATTAATAGAGGTTTTAAAACCATTCTATTGAAGGGATTTACATAACATCATGCATTATTTTCCTACCTGTAGTGGAACTCTGCGGTGATGTTTGAGGGCTTGATCCATCCGTTGTAATTACTGTTAATAAAATATCAATACCAGTCTGGTAATTAGGAATGCTGGCGTATCTTAAGTGAATATTTGGTTTCAATGTTAAATAACTCGAATTTAAAAGATGCTTTATTCTACTTCATCGGTTAGATGATAGAACAGCCCTATATTCGGCATCACAAGTTAGACACAATTCCACAATAACAAATCTATAGCAAAAGCCAACGAACAGGGATTTTTGGTCATATTGTATAACCGATTTTACTTTTTTCCGAGGAGAAGGGAAGTTGGTAAACAGCGAAACGCTTCAAAAGTCCTTTCGCACTAAAACTATTTGTGATTAAGCTATGGATCGTCTCGATAAGCAGCTTGTACTTCAGTTTTTTTTTTATAAAGAAAATAAGTTACGATATATGGAAAGGTAATTACGCATTCAAGATAATTATTAAACTTTTCCTGTGTACCAACATGAATAAAAATCTTTTGCGTATCTTACTTATTCACAGACTTTGGCCATGCAGCGTACCTCAAATAATAAAGTATAGCTATATCAGTATGAATATATATTTAACCATTAAATTTGCAAATCGTGTGAATAATTAAATAAAATAATGTAATGCAAGTTGTGAAAAAGAGTAAAGTGGAGGATCATTCTCACAGATTTTATTCCCCAAGCAACATGAATACCGCTTTTTCAGGCTCTCTTGTTGCCTTGATCAATTTGTTTGTTTGTCTCTCCAAAAATTGTTTGAACATTTTCTTTTCATTTTCCTATAATTTGAACAGGCCTACAATACGCCGATAAATAAAAGGGGCGACACCATGTCACCAAGGGAGAAATATCTCAAACATCTGACAGGCAACGAATATTGTTCTTAATTTCATAGTGTTCTGTGTAACAAAATAGGGGCAGCAGAGGGGATTAAACCCCGCCCTCCCCCCCCCCCCCCTGTACTACCGTTTTGAATAGGCCTACATAGGTCACGGTCTTAACAAAGGGGAAATGAAAATGAAAGAACGTACGATTTTGGCAAAGATCTCCAATGTAACCGGCGGGACAGATACATCGGAAGGATTCCAAATCATCATAGCAAGTTCCTCCGTTATTGCATGGTGAATTCGCACACTCATTGTTCACTGAAAAAGAATGAAATATAATGATTTTTTAAAAAGAATGTTCGAGGAAGATTGTGTGGGGTATTAAGCTACAGTCCCATATACGTCCCGGACCGTCCCGGACCATCCCGGACCCCATCCGGGGTGATCCGGGATTCGGTCCGTGTTGACACCGTGTTGGCACCGGGGTGGTCCTGGATGGTCCTGGATGGTCCTGGATGGTCCTGGATGGTCCTGGGTGGTCCGGGAGTCGACCCCGGATGTTTTTGACGGTCAAAAACTGCCGGGGTGGTCCGGGACGGTCCGGGACAATAGTTTGATCCGGGGTGATCCGTGTAGCCACCGTGCTGGGTCCGGGGTCATCCGTAGTGGCGCCGGGGCGGTCCGTGTTGATCCGTGGCAGTCCGGGAGTGAGTTATTGACCGCCCAGGACCATCCAGGACCATCCAGGACCACCCCGGTGCCAACACGGTGTCAACACGGACCGAATCCCGGATCACCCCGGATGGAGTCCGGGATGGTCCGGGACGGTCCGGGACGTATATGGGACTGTAGCTTTAAAAGCATCACACTTTTTTGAACAAAACATCCCGGACCATCCCGGATCACCCCAGACCATGGTCCGGGATGGCCCGGAGTGGTCCGTGCTCGTCCGTGCTGGTCCGGCTTCATATGGGACTGGGGCTTAAAGCTACAGTCCCATATACGTCCCGGACCGTCCCAGACCATCCCGGACCCCATCCGGGTAGATCCGGGATTCGGTCCGTGTTGACACCGTGTTGGCACCGGGGTGGTCTTGGATGGTCCTGGATGGTCCTGGATGGTCCTGGATGGTCCTGGGCGGTCCGGGAGTCGACCCCGGATGTTTTTGACGGTCAAAAACTGCCGGGGTGGTCCGGGACGGTCCGGGACGGTCCGGGACAATAGTTTGATCCGGGGTGATCCGTGTAGCCACCGAGCTGGGTCCGGGGTCATCCGTAGTGGCGCCGGGGCGGTCCGTGTTGATCCGTGGCAGTCCGGGAGTGAGTTATTGACCGCCCAGGACCATCCAGGACCATCCAGGACCATCCAGGACCACCCCGGTGCCAACACGGTGTCAACACGGACCGAATCCCGGATCACCCCGGATGGGGTCCGGGATGGTCCGGGACGGTCCGGGACGTATATGGGACTGTAGCTTAAAAGCATCACACTTTTTTTAACAAAACATCCCGGACCATCCCGGATCACCCCAGACCATGGTCCGGGGTGGTCCGGAGTGGTCCGTGTTCGTCCGTGCTGGTCCGGCTTTATATGGGACTGGGGCTTAAGGAAGGTAAGAGAAAGATTGCTGAAGGGGAGAGAATTTGCTACAGTGTATGTGACAGGCTGCAGTCGTAGAGACTGATGTTCCATGAGACTTTATTTAGTTGTTGTTGCCTTCTTGCTATTAGTAATATGGATAAGAGAACCCCATAAAATAATGGGTCAACTATATGTGAAATCGGTCTTCATCTAATGATAATTATGATTCTACCGGCTTTTAATAAACGGTCGGGTCGCGGTGCGTGTCTGTAAGAGGGTTGAATCTGGAGATAAAATAAAAAATGGGTACCTTCCTGAATGATTTTCCAGATTTCAGGGTTTCAGACACTCAAATAAAGAGTTAAAGCAAATAAAGATATAATAATTTACAAAGCTCTTTGGAAGCGCATAGGGACGTTGTAAAAGGTACCATGAGCTTTGCAAGAGCGGCTTATTTTTATACATTCAGTTGCGTTTTGATATGATAATCTCCGATCGTTTTTTAAGTGTACATAATCATTTTACCACAAAAGCAGAAGAAAACTTGTATAAACAATATACGAAGTGACTACAAACAAAAGGATTTGGTGGTTATAGATAATGATCTGTTTATCGCACTATATTTCATTAATCTGGGAATTTGAAACATAAAGATTAGGTCGTTTTCACTCGACTTCACCTTTGATGTAATTTTTTTGTAATTAGCGATCTTTATTTGTTTACGGGAGAGTCCGGGGTTTTCCCTTTCATTCCACCAGCTCAGAATAATAATTGTTTTTTAGCCAAGAAAGTCAGAATAGCGGCCAAAGTCTAGTACAATCATGCTGACGCAATAGTTATCATTTTTAAAAGGATTTAACCCACGATTTTATTTGTTTTAATGGGGGGGGGGGGTAATGATGATAAAAATGATAATGATAACAATAACGATAATAATATTAATAATGATAATACCAGTAATGATATTAATCATGATAATTAGTGTTTTTATTAAGGGCATTAGAAGGTAGGATACAGGAAAATCCCGAAAATGGTCTTTTCAAATTTGGTCTCGCTTTTGCTATCACATTCCGACTAATTTAAGACATGTTTTTGTTTTCTTTCAAAACTTAGATAGTACAGTTAAATTGCCAAGATTGATTGCAATGATAAAAGTACAGGTGTACTTTTAAGCAACAAAATAAAGTTATCAAAAGAATACACCTCACGTATTATTAGTGTCACGTTGAAGTGAATCCCTCGTTTGCAGCATACATTGTCTGATCGTAACAGTAGTGTAAGCCTCTGTGTCTCCGTAAGGATGTCATCTGGTAGGGTCCATCCCGTGAACTGCCATGGGGGAGGGGCGGTCTCTGCAATGTGACCAAACAGGATGGCTGCACCGATGTCAAAGTCAATGAACTCAACCTTGATGGCCGTATCCGTGATGGGTTTGTCGAACAACCACCTGATGTTGATATCGCCTTCGGGAAGAGTTGGGTAACCAAGGGTGGTGAACTCCTGTAAGTAGGAGGTGTCGTCGAGCTCGATGGCGACGCCAAAGGATGACATGGGCTCTAGCCCTCTACTCGTAATGTCTATGGAGAAGAAAGATTGAGACATTTTCTTGCTTGATTGGGTTCCACACCACACACTCAGTCAATCACTAACTCTCTCTCTCTCTCTCTCTCTCTCTCACATACCCACACCCACACACACAAACGTACCATCACACACACACACGCACATACGCACGAATGAACACGGATGCATCATCTTCTTCTACCCAAAGGAACAAGTTCCTTTTTTTTTAAATCAATATACTATGTCATAGGATTTCATAACATTCTTTTCTTCATTTGTATTTTGTCTTTCTATTTCCTAATCTTTGTCTCTCTGTGTCTCTTTCTATATCTCTCTTTCACACACACACAAACACACACACACCCTCTATCTCTTATCTTCTGTTTTTAGTAATACACAGGAGATGCTTATCATCATGGCAGAAACAAGTTTCTCCATTAACTTTAGAGCAGATGTATTGTCCAAATTGTATTTGGTAAAAACACACAGAGCAAATGTTGGATTGGATTGTTTACGGTCATGATGTTTATTTTTCTTCCAAAGGAGATTTAAAAAAATATATTTTCAGATGAGAGTCTGTGGGCTATTTTCTACTGTACAATTCCACTCGATGAATTTCAGATTCATTAAAAGAAGTGGATGGCATAGGGACGTCTTATTTCTTACCACCTGTAAATGGTTGCACCATCATTCCGATTCCAGTTCCTTTGTAACTTCCTGTAGTCACATCAACTTCGAGTTCGTGAGTTGGGGATATGGAGACGATTGGTGAATCAGGGGAGATGTCCACTTTAATATCCGTTGCATCTGCAAGGGTTACAAACTGACCGGACTCTACCGTAAAGACTGAAACCTCGCCTGGAACATCAAAGTGATTGTACTCGAGGCTAGTAATTTGCGACGAGTCCTCATTTGTGAAAGACATCCTGCATTGATATCTCACATTTTCCAGGGATTGGTTGAAGTATGGTGTCACAAATCTTATGGTCTCAACCTCCTGAACAACTACATTGGGGTTGCATGCTGCTATTGTCAAGGACCGTCCATTCCATGTTGAATGATCTGTCGAAGAATGAAAGAACATAGCCTAGTTGAAGATTATGTTTGAGTACTGCAAGTCTTAATCGGATTAAAGTCATCTAATGTAATTTTGTTGTCAACTAATTTGAAAATGCCCCCAAAACTGTCAACAATCCCTTGAATTGTTTAAAACTGAATTACAGATTTTTTTCAAAGACTCCATAAAGTCTATTATCACTAATCGTACTCTTAGAAGTGATTTTGCCACGAGAGTTAACACCAGAAAAGACAATTTGACATTTAAAATCTGATGTCACGTCCTTAATTTGATGTACATCTGCTCTCGAAATTAGACTGAATATTGTGGTACCAATCTTACAATTAAGATTTTATAATAGTAAAAAAAAAAGAACGTGGTGTAGAGGTTAGTATAAAAACCACACCAAAATATAAACGTACGAAATACAATATTCTACTCAAAAGACAATTGGACATTGTAAATCTGACGTCACGTCCTAAATACATGTATATCAACTCTCGAAGTTAGACTGAATATGTTGGTGCGGATGATACAATTAAAATTTTATAGCAGTCAATAGAGAAGCATGGGTGTAGAGGTTAGTATAAAATCCACATCCAAATACAAACGTATGAAATGCAATATTCTACTCGTACCACAAAGTCAACGATATTTTTCGAGGAATTAAAGAAATCCTACTTAATGTACACTTCCCGGTTGATTTGATTATGTATTCATGTTCATAGTAGCGTGCCGACTTCTTACACCATCTGTTTAGGCCTTTCTTCTATTATACCTAGTCTTAATATACCAAACGGTGTCCTAGTATGTGAAAACTAACCTTAACTATAACTCTAGAACCATCCCTTATTTATCGTAATTATGTTGGACTAATGAGCAATATCATCTGATGTTGGTTTGCATGACCACTGGGCTAAACTAAAAAGGGTCATTGGCCCCATAACCCTCCATTGCCCTGTGAGGTTTAAAACTCACGGGATACAGAACCATAGGTAAACTCTTGATACACCTAAATGTATTGGAGAACGTTTTTCAAAACCCTTGGGTTGGTGTCAATGGTGTATCCATAAAAAAAAAATAGGGGCAGAAGTTATCATATACCAGTCGAAAAATGAATGTGGGGGGGGGGGGGTGTCTCAACCCTTTGCTGGCTACACACTGTCCTAAGTTTGGGATATGGTTTCAGGAATTTACCAACAATAGACAGCTTCACCGTCAGGCCATCACCAAGCTGACTATTTCCGTTGACGTAGAACGACATCTTGATCTCGTCATCGTACGAGTACCAGGTGGTCGATAACACGGAGTCCCTCATACACACCCACTCTCCATAGGTATCGGAGGTATCAAAGATGCAGACTTCTCCACCCTCTCCTGGTTCCATGTCCAAGATGTCGACCTGAATCCAGGTGTAAGAGCTGGCTGTGATGAACCAGTGTAGTTCGGCTGCCACGTCAGTCAAGAGGGATAGGTCGACACTCTGTATGGTGATGCTGGGGTAGGTATCGGACAGAGCGAACGCACCACCGCTTGAGCGGACGAACGAATCTTGTAATTGGTCTGAGTATTTGATAGGGATAGGGAAGAGTGACAAGAGCGGAAACAACATGGTTGCGGTAAAACTAAAATTGAGTAACCGGTGTGCATAAATCGTAATATTTTACACTTTTAATTAACCGACCATCATTTATAGTTAAGAGATAACCTCCTTTAATGCTTGTTGAAGCCGTTGGACAGCCGTGAAGCTTGCACATTACCATTCATACTATAGCGTGCCTTTCTACATCTCTATGATTAAAAAGTTTAAAAAGTGATTCTGAAAAGGGGATTTTGAGAATGACAATAAATGAGTTATTTCACCAACTTTATTTAAGCCAATCAATACAATATTGTTTATTGGAATAGCGAATGGCACAGCTTGTAAATTGGGGGCCCATGAATATGCCTTTTGCTTTAGTGGTTTACAGGTGCTGGAATTGAGATTGCAGGTGCCAGTTAGTATGGCCATCGATATGGGTTAAAATGGCCAGTCAATCGCTAATGATGATTTTTTTTCTTCAATGCACAGTAAAAACGCTGTTTAAAAAAGTGATGTTCACTTACAGTTGTACACTATCTTAAACAACAGTTGATCAAATTGTAAACAATGTTGCTCGAAACAGAAGTAATTTTGTTAAACATTCGTTGTTTAAAATTTAATGACTGCTATACTTACTATACGAGAGCTTTTAGACAGTGTTGTTTACATATGACGTCATGTGCCTCGTGCCAGTTAAGTGCGTGTTGCTAAAGGCTTTATTTCACATTGTTATGTTTAGAAACAGGTTCCTTGAAACTAAAATGCAATTGAAATTGACATGCCACTTAGAAATGCAGTGCAGCTGTTAAGGCACAGCTCATTGTTATTGATATTAGATGCATACACACAATGCAAGTGTATGCAAGGGTCTTTAATTGTTGACTGCACAGATTGATACATATGTAAAAGCACATGGACATTGAGTCTGGATCAAACTACCAAAGCAACCACACGTGTTTCTGCAGGCTCCATCTTGTTTGTCTCTATACTTACATTTATTTAGCTTAATAGTTATTACTTTCCAACCCACAACACAACATCATGGCCGACCAAGCTACCGACGCGCTTCTAAGTGACTGGGGATTCAATGGCTTAATTGAAATCACTTTTCTATTAACCACTTTGAAGTTTTTAACTTATAGCGTAAGTTCACAGTTAAAATTTTCGGTATCTGTACGCAAATGTCAGAATATAGGTAGACTTAAAATCGTCGCGTCATGCAGTGCGGCACTGATCGCGCACTCGGTTATAACGTGTGCTAAATTCCTTGCCATAGAGATTGCATGCATTCCTATATATGCAGTTTATACGTGCGTGCATGCGCGCTCATGCAAAATGGGCACTGTTTTGGCGCTAATTCATGAATTGCAGAATTACCCTAGTCTTCATATACCTATATAGAGACCCAAAAGTAGTGGTGCACTTATTCAGAGTATCAAACCCAAATTATACCCCATTATACAACCCTTTTGTTGTAAACAACCCCCACTGAACAACAGCTCCTTTTTAAACAACTTTCTTTAAACAACCCAGTTGGTTTAAACAACCCCAACTGAACAACAGCTCCATTTTAAACAACTTTCTTTAAGCAACCCAGTTGGTGTAAACAACCCCCACTGAACAACAGCTCCTTTTTAACCAACTTTCTTTAAACAACCCAGTTGGTGTAAACAACCCCCACTGAACAAAAGCTCCGTTTTAAACAACTTTCTTTAAACAACCCAGTTGGTGTAAACAACCCCCACTGAACAACAGCTCCTTTTTAAACAACTTTCTTTAAACAACCCAGTTGGTGTAAGCAACCTCCACTGAACAACAGCTCCGTTTTAAACAACCGTCTTTAAACAACACCGGTTGTTTAAATTGTGATTTTAAACAAGTTGTTCAAAATGTTGATCAACTAAGTGTTTAAACTTTAAACAACTCGAGTTGCTTAACACTTTAAACAACTCTTAGATCAGGTCACCCGTTAATCAAGAGTTGTTTAAACTTTTAAACAACTTGTTCACAAAAATTTTAACTGTGTGGGGAAGTAATTTTGTTAATACAAAGTTTTGGGAAATTTTGAAAATTGGGTGGATAGCGATTCTTTACAATTTTGATATATTTGGATGCCCCTGTGGATGTATTAAAAGCACTAGAAAATTTAGGCCCTAACACACTTCTGCTTTCGAGAAAACTGGAATATAAAAATTTACCGGTGCTCCCGGTAAATTTTGATAAATTTCAAATTGCACATACGGCCGTACAATGGTAGCTGCGACCATGAAAATCTCTGAATATGTAGTTGTGATATATTAATTCCAAACGGGAATAGCTAGTCGGTCGATTTTAGTCAAGAAACATTGTTTTATAGCTTAATCAATATCTTGACCTTGAGAGGGCGCTATACAGCATAAAGAGTTAATTATTTATAATTTCATAAATTTAGACTCGATTACAACCGCGACAACGATCACTGAATATTGTACGATCACATTTGCTTCCAATATGTTCACTTGAACCAAATTCAAGACCCCATACCAAAACTTAGTATTACCTTTAATATGTAGCCTCCGCTGAGCTTAGCAACGCAGGGGGCAGCGATGGAATTCCGACGATCATATTTTCGGTGATAATGTTCCCAGGCGCGGATCCAGGTTTTCTTAGGGGTGGGGGCCCAAATTTGAAATCAATTTGAAATTTAGTGTGCTGAAATATGAAAATCGTGCCGGCCAATATTTCGCTCAGTGGGAGGGGGGGGGGAGCTTGTAGTGAGCACTAATTGTTTTTTTTTTTGGGGGGGGGGGCACCCAAAAATTTGAAAATCGCGCCGGCGGAAAATTCGCTCAGTAGGAGGGGGGTGTGAGCACAATTTTGTTTGGGGGGCCCTCGAAAATTGGAAAAATTGCACCCCCCCCCCATTGAGCGCCAGGGGAGTGGGGGCCATCTCCAAAAAAATGTAAAATTAACGTTAAAAAATGTAAAAATACTTTTTTTTCAGCCCCCCTCCCCCCCCCCCCCCCCCTCTGGATCCGCCACTAAATGTTCCTATCACCCTCCTAACTGAGTGAGTCTGTGATGATCGGTGGGATTCCCGAAATGCTATACCCTAGAAAATGCTCTCGCGTCAGTCAGAACATTAGAATGGGAGATTAATTACACCAGACATTATTTTGGAAAGACATTTTGGACTGTGTAAACTGTGGAATCCGGAAGTTTATTTTCATTTCACGTCAGAAAGAGATGAAAGAAAAACATATTCCATTGACAAATATTTCATGAGTAATTAATTGGAAGATGTTTATTTTCATTGGTCAATATTTTGTTTATCTCGATCTTTAGGCCTTCGCCTCCTCACAATCACCGCCCAAGAGAAGAATGAAAAGAGTAATTTCATGGAAAATAAGGAAAGAAGAATAACAAACGAGGAAAAGTTGATAACGAAACTTAAAGTACCATAAATCCTAAAAATAGGATAATGAATATATCACAAAAATGCAGACGCATGAGACTATAATGCGACAAATTTCATCGGAAATATGTTCTGCTGTTTATTGTTCAATATATTTCCATCGTCCGACCAGTGAGCGAGTGTACTTCTGTTCAGTTGGAAAGGATGTTTCTGAGAAAAAGGGTGTGGGCGGGTGCGTTTGTGGATGGAATGGGGAGGGGCAGTGTCGAATGGTAAAAGGAAAGAAAGTAAACAAAAATATATATTTCATTATTTCAATAAATAAACTGAGAGCATGTGTATGTCCAAAATTATGGCTATGACAGTCTCCTTCATTTGTCGGTGGGGATTGATGTAATGTGACGAATGGGATAACTTAAAAAAGGGGGTACAAAGAAAATTTATTTTATTTTTAACATTAATGGGGTGATTTTCATTAGATGGAAATAATGACCTCAATTTTCAGGGCCGGAGCAAGGGAGCGAGGGAGGCGCACGCCCCCTCCCCTTTTTTTTTTACCATATAAAAATATACACATACAAATTAATGATCGGTTACTCATTCAGAAATGCCTTAGAATATACCATAGAGCATCTTAAGTTTCAAAATTTTCCGGGGCCCCTTAACCGGGTCCAGGTCAACACGCCGTAAAGGCTTCGCGCTACGCGCTCGCAATTTCGTACATTTCACGCCCCGCCCCCTTTTGGAAAATCCTGGATCCAGCCCTGATATCGGCCTAATTCAACCAAAATATTGTGTCATTTTGTTAGGTCCCTTACAATTATGAGCACATGCATTTATACCCTGACTATTAATAGGCTACATATCTTAGAATTCAAATCTTTCTTTTAACATTTGATTCTTGAAATTCCCTCTTTCACTCCAATTGAATTATACATTGGCCATTACGTTATATTCTTATTTAAAAGGGGGCAATATGGCACACTAGCTAGTATGTCATCAAATATTAAAATACATAAATAGGAAATCGTATGCATCCATTCGTAAATAGTGGAGATACGTATGGTTGTATGAGAGAGAAAGTGAGGATCAGAGGTAAAGGGAGAGAGCCCGGGGAGGGAGGAAGGATGGGAGGGAGAAAGAGAGAGAGAGAGAGAGAGGGGTGGAGAAGGAGGAAGGGAGAGGGGTGGAGAAGGAGGAAGGGGGAGTGACTCCCTAAGGGAAGAAATCCTTTCAAATGACGATAAATCTTAATGCCCAAGCGATCTTGTTTATCTAAAAAATGAAAAATTGAAGCTAATAACGACCAAACCGAATGGATACTGTAGCGAAGGTATGCTGTTGTAGGCGATGCGTGGATTTCGTACAGGGGAGCTCCAGTAATCAGATATCAGATTCATGTATTACAGGGCTCCTCCATAATTCATTCCCCATCTTGATAAATTTGCATGTGGGAAAAAAAAGCATTTTCTTAGTGATAGCTGTATTTGATAATTGATGGGAACATAATTTCGGACCTCCCCCCCCCCCCAAAAAAAGCACACAATATCAACTCCTTATTTGCATATATACAATAAATTGCTCACGAATTTAGATCAATTTTCAGAAGGTTCAATTATAATACAGGAATAATTAAAAATCGCATATGAAAAATCAATTTTTAGGAAGTTACGCTGCTGCAGTGCATTTCACTTCGAGATTTTCCAAAACATTCAAATAGATACATGTATATAGTCATAAATATTGATAGGAATATTTTTATAAATTCCACGTCTCCGAATGATTCACAAACAACAAATACGTCATCGTGAAAATCTCAATGTCACTCAACCGTAAGAATGTATGCCTTTACTGCATTGCAAATGTTATTCATTCAAGCAAAATGCATATAAATAGTTTTGCATGTGATTTTATAATGATGTATATGACGTTAACATGTGCAGGGTACCTGGAAAAGAACAGTCACTGTGCCTAGGTATATAAGGTAAACACGCCATGGTATTTGAACGGAATATCTAAATGGTGTTGGAACTATACATTTGCTTCGGTCTTATATCTGTTTGCTATTTTATGAAATGTAGATACAATTTCTTGTGAGAATGCTTGAGATGAGTACAACTATATCAAGAAGGATGTTCGCAATTTCAATGCAGAACATGTTCTGCGATTTCTACATTTCGCAAGCGTATTCTTGAAATCACTCTTTTCCAGATTCAACGAGTACTAGTAGTTGACTCCTAATAACTCGTAATTATTCTTTTAGGTGATTCCTCAGACAAGTGTTAATAAACTAAAATTACCTCCCTAAGATTTGTAATCTGCTCTTAGTAACTATTCATACTAAAATCAAGATAACGACCATCAAACTGATCGTTATACCTTCTAGCTGTGTTTTCCGTTCTTTATCAATATATCACGTGTGTGGCTAACATTTCTCAAGCTATACGGATGTGTATTTCTGTTTGTAAGGACTCGTCTATTTTGAACCACACGAAACCTTTTATCCCCAACGCGCCATTGTCTGTATCACAACGAGCCAGCATTATGTTTCCTACATTTTCCTTTTGCAAAATGGTGCATTGAGATATTGAAAAGATAACACGATGAATGTCTTTATGACGTGCAGTCGTACAACGCTTGATATATCGGTGTTTTGTATGTAGCTGCCTAAACATGATTCTTTTATATAATTTATAAAGGGGGTAACGTCAAGGGGTTTCCCCTAAAATTGTCTGGTTGATGAAACAACACAGCAGGGGTGCTGAGAACAAGTCTGTGTGCTTCAAATTATGAACACGAATGTCTCACCTGAATCATGCCTGAATTCACTTAATTGGTAGATGTTTAGTCAAGGGTAATTTTTATCTCATTTTGGCTACGATGCAAAATCAACTTAAACAGTTAAGAATAACAAGGTCAACAAGAAATACGGATCTATGTGTAGACAAAAATAGAAAACACACCTTTATCTCTTTGCCTTTCTTAAGCACATTTAGAGACAAAGAATGGAAATGATTAGACGTATATGTATAAAGCTCTTATTATAACAAATAATTAAATTTGGTAATTTCAAATAATTTTTACAAAAAGATGCATGATTTAAACATTTAAATTTTCACCTAAAATTTTTCAAGCAGGACTTGTTTTAAATGAACATGCATTGTTATAAATATTTTGCATATTACAGTGGTTATTCCTCTTGGCATGTTCTGTGATGTTAAAGATAAAGGTGAGTTCTGGTCATCCGATTTCATTGTGGAAGAAAAGGTATGGAATGGATCAGAAAAAGTTGATCATGATCATGTAGCATGTAAGTATTGATGTGTACTGCATAGTTCTGGAGTCATCAAAATCATAATAAATTTGGCCCAGTCTTGGTAAAGTAACAAGCACTGTACACATAAAGATGTATATGGGACTACACAAATGGTGTTGGGGGCTACTACACTGTAAAAAAATAATAATCGAAATAACTCAATAAAATTGAGGGAAAAAATTGCCTTATTTTTATTAAGTAAATATTACCTACGGCATCTTATGTAGAATTTACTTATTTTGCTGAATAAATTTTTACTCAGTTAGATCGAGTTACATTAACGTAAATAATTTAAGTATTTTAATCATTTTAGATAATTAAAAAAAAAGCTATGATAGGATTACATATTGCACGATTTGGTACCCAATCTAACAAGTAACATCCACTAATCGTTCACCACTTCTATTTAAGATTAATCACTAATCACTAACACTATTTCTATTTAATATTTAACCGTGTATATATATATATATATATATATCTACCACCATCACAAACTATTACATACGCTTCAATTCGACACATATTGAAAGGCTCCAAATTTTATATATACTTGATCGTAGCATCTTAAAAGGAAAATTGGTTGACAATTGGTTGAAAATTGGTTGACAATTTCCTGAAATATCAAGTTTTGATTTGTTTTGAACTGGGTAACAATTAAAAATTGTCTTGTCTTTGCTTAGCCATGTTAAATGAATTAGTAAATGTTTTAAAGTCCTTAAATTTTCATTCAACCACAAAAAAGAATTGTTTGATTTAAAAAAGAGTTTAATTTGGTCTTAATGAATATTCATACATTATGTAAATATTTCTATTACGCACTGCATCGGTCCTTACTTTAAAAAGATAAGAATAATCAACATAAATTGTTTGAGTAATACGTATAATTTCTGATTTTGAGTTAAAATTACTAAATTAATACAAGCTGAAATTACTTAAAGTTCTTATGTATTTGATTTTACTTAAATATTCCACGTATGTTCTACTAAATTGAAAGTTTGAGTTAGCAAGACTTAAATTTAGTGCGTAAGTGGCAAAACTAATGTTTTCAAGTAAATTCTACATGGAAAAAATACGTAAAAATTACCAATGAACAAATTCTTTTTTACAGTGTAACCTTGATTTCCTAATCTTTCTATGCTCATTATTCAGCCAGTATACAGTTTCTACCAAAATTGTTTGGCAAATGACATTTATTTTTAATCTTGAATATTCAGTGTAAGTTTCGTTTGATTCTGTTTCATTTTCTTTTTTTTACCAGAACTCACCTTTATCTTTAAAGGTACATCAAGCAACTCATCAGAGCAAGGGACAAAAAATAAGACTTTGAATTTTGCTTTACATTGCATTACAGGCGAAACAATATTTTTTCAAAGATTCATGAATTCTCAAGTGTATGAAATGAATAATTAGATTTTAGTGTCTTTTTTTGTACAAGTTTGAATCCTAAAGATAAGCTTGAGTTCTGGTAATGATAGAAAATAAATTCTCACGGAATCCAACAAAACTCCCACTGATTGTTTAAGATTACAAATAAATGGCATGTGCTAAACGATTATGGTAGAAAATGTATAGGGGCTGAGTAATGAGCATATATAAAGATAAGGAAATCAACGTAATAAGTATTGGCCCGACACCCTGTGCTTAACACATGTCACTATGTGCAAATGAGAGTTGTGGTATTTATTGAAGATGATTTCCAGCAAGTTTTTGTGAGTTTGTTTTTATTGTAATTGTTCAAACAATCAATCTATTGCAGGAGAAACAATCCAGAATGAATAGGAGCCACGTTCTCCCCACATACGATTCCCATACCAGAGCTCAAGATTAGCTTTAACTTCACTAGATCATTGTTGCAGAAATACAATATCATAATGCTGGCTATTATTATTCTTAAATAGGGCAAAATAACACGACAGGGCATACTAATAAATATGAATAAGTATCATGTTTCATAAATCAATATCATGAATATTGAATAGTGGGGATATCGTCTAGAACATAACATGTCCTGTGTCAGAGTCTGCAGAGCATGAAAACTGATGCAATGTGAACAGCATAACGGTTATATCGCTATGAAAACATCAACGAAAACCAAAGTAGAACAAAAATTAAAATTAAAGGTAAAGACCAGTTATGGTCATGCGATTGCATTGTAAAAGAAACGTTGTGGAATCGATCAGAAAAGGTTGATCATCTAGCATCTAGCATCTGCAACTAGGTTCTGGAATCATCAAAATGATAAGAAATTTGGCCCATTCTTCGTAAAGTTACAAGCACTATACACAGAAAGATGTATATGGGATTACCCTATATCTCTCACAGACCATGAGAGAAACAAATTTACCAAATATATGAATTAGTAGGCGGTTTCCCGGCAAATTTTTTATCATCATGTATTAGTCAAAACATATTCTTTCACATGATTGGTGATGAGAGCTTCCATTTCATTTTTTGAAATTGGGGCGTTTCCAATACTGGTCTTTACCTTTAAACAAACAAATGGACTGGAAAAGAAGATGGCACATAAAGAGTAGCATAAGGTAAATTTTCCAAATATGTAAAAGTTTGGAGGGAAAGTTGAAGCCCAGTGGTAGAAAGACAGAACATAAACAAAAGTGAGAGATTAAATCTATGCAATTAGAAGAGATCTTAGTTGGGATGCGTAGTGATGTAAGTGTTTATTGTAATTGTAACACATACAAATATTGTTTTCACCACTGAAAATACTTAATGATGCTTACCAGTAAAAGAAAATTCAGCTTCCAAATAGACGTAAGGACTGCTGCCATCACAACGATCAAATTTGATCTTCATTTGCGAGGAATCCAAATAGATCGGATCAATCACTAAAGATATCCAAGAAATTCTCACTAACTCCTCACTAGTGTTCAGATTTATAACAGTCATCGTGTCATCTTCAGGAATGTGAAGAGCTAGAAAAGTAGCAATCAGGACGGTTCCCGGTGGACTTGTTACATAGATGTCACAGGTATAATCGCAAAGTCCTGGCAAATCGCAAGTACACGGAGGAGAATCACAAAATGGCTCAGAACTGTTGAACATAAAGGACACTTGAGAATTCTTTGGTGTTAGGGTGATGTTGTTACCAGTTGATGCATCTGCAAGAGCAAAACAAAGTATATTCATGTACTATATAAAATACGACGAGTAAATATCATATTTATCAAAATCAAGCTTTTCTTTTGATAAGTGTAATGCAAGAATATCACGTGTTTGCATCATTTGCATAATGATAATGGCACTTATCTTTATAAGCCATCTCCCCAACATACATATATTGTTACTTGTGTGGGAATACTAATATGGCCAAAATAATAAGATCCTCGGATACTCATTTTAATATACATGCATTGTATTCCATCGTTGTTTTATTATACCATTTATAAATTGCAATGTAGCTTTATAGTAAAACATCTTTATGCATTTTTGATATGAAGAAGTAATAGGTCAGTGTTCTCTTATCATACCCATTCCCCAAACTGAAGCCAGTTATAATTGCAAACCAGATCTACAAATAAAAATGAACATCAATCAATCGACCAGACAGTGCATTACGCTATGTGCATTACGCTATACATATCCGGAATAGCACATACACTCATGATCTCCATAACAGCATCGGACAGAAATACGCCGAATGCAAGGGATGAATATGAGAAATGTCGTCGTGGTAAAGAGAGTGGTTTGGATGTGAATATAAATCTATTCGTATCATGAACGTAAAGAAGGAGCACATTTACGTAATTATTTTGAATTAACGCTTTCATATGAAACATAAATGTTGAGATCTTTAAAAATATGATTCATTCATTTGTAACCGTCGGCTTCTATTGGATTTCATTGTAAACATGAAATACGGCGTGTGTCTGCTAATCAAAGTAGCACTGAAAATGGCGAAATACATAGAAGATAATTGCTTACGGATAACAGGTATGCGTAATGCCAGGAGCAAGCCACAACTGAGCAAAATATGAAGACGAATAGCCATCTTATTTCCATTCAAGAATGTTATGTCCTGATCAGCCTGATGTTGGGGATTGCTTTGAAGACAAGACATCGTACTGTAATAAAAAAAAATTACCCGTTGCCAATCAGTGGCGTACCTGGGGTACTCCGTCAGGGGGGGCAAGCGACCGAAACAAACAAAAATGGCGATGCTAATTTTCACTTCTGGCGAGCGAGCGAGCAAAAAAAAATTTAAGTAACGTTTGGTATATAAACTAGTATTGTTGCAAGTTGGGGGTGGGAACATTCACTTGTTAGCGACGTTAATTTCATTTTTTTGCAAACGAGTGTAGCGAGCAAGAAAAAATCACTTCTTTTTTAATAATTGCCACTTAAACTTGGTTCAATTGTCCCATGCAGGGCACGGGAACAATAATGTGTTTAGGGTGATTTTATACCCATTTTAGCTAGCGAGCGAAAATACATCTTTCTCTCAATGAATTGCTATATAAAATTTGTTTCACTGTTGCAGGTAGGGGGCGGGCACAATCGTGTTTAAGGCAATGTCAATCCCATTTTGGCGGGCAGGCAACCCCCTACATTTCTCTTTTTAATGATATTGTAGCAGGTTAGTGGTGGGCACATAATTCCACGAGCTAGCGAGTGAAAAAAAAATCACTTCTCTTTTATAGGGAAAATATGGTACATAAAACTCGGGTTCATTGTTCCATGTCAGGGACGTGATTATTAAAAGCGGTGTTATTTCTATTTTGGCGAGCGAGCGTAGCGAGCGAGCAAATAAAATCACTTCTCTTTTATATGGTATATAAACTTGGGTTCATTGTTCCATGTCAGGGACGTGATTATTAAAAGCGGTGTTATTTCTATTTTGGCGAGCGAGCAAAATTTTTGTAATGATAATTGGTTCATAAATTTCAGATTTTTTTGTTGCAGGGCAGGGCTTACACAATCATGTCTAAGGTGATGTTAATTCCGTTTTGGCGAGCACGAGCACACCACAACTTCTTTGAATAACGTTTGGTACATAATTATTAACTGGTTGTTGCAGGTTGGGGCGGGCACGTTAGTGGTGTCAATTCCATTTGGCGAGCGAGCATAGCGAGCAAGCAAAAAAAAAAAAAATTCTCTTTTAATAGAAATTAATAAATAAACTTGTTTTTATTGGTGCAGATCAGGATGGACGCAATCGCGTTTAACGCGATTCAATTCCTTTTTGGCGAGAGGGTGAAAAAACTCTTCCATTTTTAATGATATTGTTGCAGGTCAAGGGTAGGCAAATGGGCACAATTGTTTCCAAAGCAATGTCTATTCATTTTATTCGCGAGCGAGTGTAGCGAGCGAGAAAAATGAAATAGTCTCTTTTAGTAACATTTGGTACATATATTGTGTGTTATTGTTGCCATGGTTGCAGGTCGGGGCCCGTCGGGGCAGGCACAATTGTATTCTAGGCAATACTAATCCTTTTCTTTTTTCAGGGGGACGAGCAAGTGAAAACATTTAATACAAAATAGGCTAGCAAGCAGTTCGCGCCAGCGAAGAGTTTCGAATTTGTTACATCACTTATATTTTCCAATTTTTATTTGTTTTAATTTTTCAGGGCCGTATATGCGGAATATTTTTCTGGTGGGGGAGGGGGAAAGATGCGTTAAAAGTTTTTGAAGAATCTCAAAAGCAAAAGGAGTGAAGGGAGTTCGAGCGACCAAACTGGTCATGAGGGTATACTTTTGCATTTTCAAAAGTAGAATTGAAAGATTTGGTATAGGCCTACACTACATTTTCAGGAAAAAAATTGTACGTTTTCAAAATATCTGGGGTCAACTGCCCCCCCCCCCCCCTGGTGCGTACGGCCATGGTCTTTTTTTTTTTTTAAATTTCCCCATTTTTATTCCTTTCCTTTTCTTTTCCCTTTTTCTTCCTTTTCTCTTCTTCTTCCTTTTTTCTTTCCTTTTTTTCCTTTTTTCTCTTTCTTTCCTTTTTTCTTCCCTTTTCCTTTTTTCTTTTTCTTTCCTTTCCTTTCTTTTCTTTTCTTTCCCCTTTTTCTTTTTTCCCCCTGGAGCCCGTCAGGGGGGGGCACTCTGCCCCCCCTGCCCCCCCCCCATAGGTACGCCAGTGTTGCCAATGTATAAAAATGACTTGAACTTTGTACACGCGATTGGCGCCTCTCATATCACCGCACTGCGTTATGATGATGATGATTGAAGACAATTAATTATGTTTATTGGGGGAGATCTGGAACACGTGAAAAGGGGTATTCATGGATCACTAATTTTTCATTCAAATGAATCTCTTGTTGCATGGAGGGGTTGAATCTAGACAGAGAGAAAGAGGCATATAGAGTTTTGACTCAAGCTGATTTCGCAAGAGGGAAATCCCCTTGAATAGCACTGATATTCTCCCTCTTTCAAATTCTTTGAGTTTAATGAATAGCAGCTATGTAAATAAATCTTATCAAGGTTCACACTCTTTCTTTTAAGAGGCGATGATACAATACATGTCTCGCCGTCTAGCTTTATGCAATATTCATAGATAGCCATACCGGTGAAATTCTGTTGCAGACCCCCTCCCCCCCCCCCCCCCCTCCCCACTCCCATTCTATTTATAAGGTGACGTAATATTGTTGCATTACATGATAATTGTATATGATGTTTCACTGTCATTGGTCCAAAGTTAACCAGACAGGCAGAGATCGAGGCGTTATATGGGGAGGGAGAAAGAGAGAGAGAGAGAGAGAGAGAGAGAGAGAGAGAGAGAGAGAGAGATAGAGAGAGATAGAGAGGGAGAGGCATATAGAGTTCTGATTCAAGCTGATTTTGCAAGAGGGAATCCCTTTGAATAACACTAATGCTCTTCCTCTTTCAATTTCTTTAACTTTGATGAAAAGCAGATGTCAAAATAACTTTATCATAGTTTATACTCAATCTTTTTAGGTGGTTGAACTACGCAATTAAGGCCTATTATTGTTCTTTTATTACTCCTATAATTATTAATCTGTTTAAGTGAATGTGCAGAAAGGGCACATCTGGAAGTTTTCTCGTCCCTTTTTTTGTTGCTAGCCATAGTCTACCCAATAAATGACATGTGATGGCGCTACCCATCGACTAAAAAGTTATGACAGAGATTGTGGCCCAAATTCACAAAGGAGGTTTGTCGACAAACCCAGGTTTGTCGAAAAACCTCCTTTTGTTTCGACAAACCTTTTGTTTTTTTACAAATCAAGGTTTGTAAAAACGCGTCGAACGCGTCGTATGACGCACATAAACCTCGGTTTGTCGACAAACCTCCTTTGTGAATTCGGGCCATTATGACGGAGTCGGAAGCGTCATAACTACTTAGTCAGGATGTTGTCCTTGATCTATAACATAATCCTCTAATAACCACTGATTTTCTGGTTCAAGGTCCACACTTCTCAGTTCAGGGTCTGTTAGCTCAGTTGGCAGAGCGTCGCGTCACTAACGCGAAGGTCGTGAGTTCGAGCCTCAACCCGACCCCCTTTTTATTTATTTTTTGTTTAGGGAGAAGAGAGTTAGCCTAGCGCTATATAACACACCCTCCTAATTCGATGAATAGTACAAAACAATGACATGTACCATTTTTACTTGACAGATTTCTTTTTTAAAATATCATTACTCATCAATATTATTTTTTGGCCTTCTCAGCCTATGCCAGTATAGGATCTAGGGGGCTCGGACCCCCTCCCCTGGCCTAAAAAACAGGTTCATTTAACCTTTTTTCATGAAAAAAAGAAGAAGGCGGGCCCCCTCCACCTGGCTCAGGGGTGGATGTTGGGTGTAAAAAAAGAAATAGCGACACTACTTTTTCTTTCTTCATATATGCACCCCTAATTCAAGGCGACTTAGAGCCCCTTTTTTATAACTTTCCCTAGAGCTCGCTCCCATTTTTAGATGTTATAATTATGTTACTTATAAAACAAACTTTATAGTCTTCCTTCATTAGATTGTGCTTAATACTCATCAGGGTTTTGGGGGTCTTCTTAAGATGTAATTTAAGTTGCACTGGGACCTCACAAATCTTAACAATTTTGCTGGCTCGCTTCGCTAGCTCGAAATTAATATTCAGACCATCACGCCTAGCTGTAAAGTATGTTGCTTAATTAATATCTTGAACCACGTAAAGAAAGAAACAAATATTGATATCATTCTTCTTCTTCCTGTACTTATTATCATTTCTATCATCAATCAATCGATCCCTGGTAGTGTAATCACAGTCACATATTTAGCGGCGAATTAGCGGGGGGGGGGGGGGAGTAAAGAAGAGAACTTATTTTTTTTTAAAGGTAAAATTGTGGTAGGCCTACCATCTTTCCCCCCCCCCCCACTTTTTTGTCTTTTTTAAAACTTTTTTTTGGCCAAGGGAGGGGGGCCGGGCCCGTCGGTCCCCCTACACGCCCTCCCCCCCCCCCCCCCCCCCCCCCGTGGATCCGCGCCTGCCTGGCTCCATATAAAAAAGAAAGGGAAAAAAACTCCTATTATTTTTTTTTTTCTTTATAACTCAGCTCAGCTCTGCGCTTGAATACAGGCTACACATAGTAAACATGGGCTCGTTCCTAGAAACCAACGACAAGACAGTCATAACTTTATCCGCCAACTACGGAGATGTCTCTGATCTTCCTAAACCGTTTCACGAAGCGCTTACTAGCTAGTATCTCGTGAGATCGATATTATCGGCGAGAAGAGGAGCCGAGAATTAGCCTTAGTCGCAATACCACCAGATTATTACAAAATTAATATTAGGGAAAATGCAATTATTTAAATGAATTAGTAATAAAAAAGATTAAAAATGATACCAAGAAATAAGAGATCCAATATACTTCCAAATTTGTGTAGATTAAACAATTGAAGTACTTGTAAAATATAATTGTGAGTTTTTCATTACATGACCAGTGAATCAGTTTTGTTGTTGAGATGGGCACCCCCCGAATATTTTCATTTGATAGTTTATAAAAATACACCCTTATATTATTCTTTGAAAAAATACGATGTAATGAAATTTGTGTTCAATGTTTTTGGCGTCAGCACAATATAAAAATTACAAAACTTCAATATTTCAAACGTTAAAACATATGTTTAAACCATTCACTTTGCATAATTGAAAATAAAATTCATCTCGACATTAATATGGGTCTGAAAACTAAAGAATACACTTCAAACTATGGCTTGCCTGCCATGGCAAAATACATATCCCTTCGACGAGTTTACAATGTGGAAATAAAGGCGGATAATCAGTTTATTTATGTGGGAAAATCCTTAAATACAAACATGGCATATTTTCATGAGATTATCAAATACAAAAAACGATAATTCACTGTTTAAGTGAATGTGTAGAAAAATCATAGTTGGAGGATTTATTGTCCTTTTTTGCCAGCCATAGTCTACCCAATAAATGACATGTGATGGCGCTGCCCATCGACTAAATAGTTATGACAGAGATACGACGGTGTCAGAGGTGTCATAACTCCTTAGTCAGGATGTTGTCGTTGATCTTGACAAAGAGGGCTTGGTGAAACACGTAGCGGACAAGTTGTTCACTTACGCTGATTTAGTCAAGAAGTTAGACTTATGACGGTTTGTAGGAACGGGCCCCATAGCGCCTTTCTAGTTGCCGGTTTGTACTGTTCCGTAATTTTTCTGCTGGCCGTTAGGTACATCTAGGTAAGTTTCAGAAATAAACAGTAAATAATGAAGACAAAATCTTCATGAAATTGTTAATGGATCTTTGGATATGATCTTTTAGGAAGATTAGGCCTCTATATTCTGATCAATTAATTAAATTCATTTCTACCTGTCCCTGTCCCACACGCTGGATTCTATGTTATTCATGTTTGCCCATACACGAGCCACTCCAGCAAAGCATAGAGTCAAAGGCAATGCTAATCCGCATTGACCTCTAGCACACACATAACTGCATTACTATCTGGCTGTGTATTAAAAGCTGTGCTATTGATTCTCAACATTTCAAACACCACTGTACAAAACTCAACTGATTTAACTCAAAATCAGTCTTTAGTCATTTAGTGACAATTGATGACACCTCAAATAAATGGCGCTTGTTCAGAAATTTGACCCGTAACTCGGGCGTGGAGATACCCTACTAAAACATACCCAAAATGAAGTAAATATTCACTAAATGTCCAAATAAAGATCATGAGTTAAAAGTTGTTATGTTTATTACCTGTTTCGTGTCAATTTTCTTGTTATTTTTGAAGTATTTTTCGGATAAATGTTGATCTTTACCCTTTACCCAAGATTCTGGAAGAATGCTGTGTTCTCAGCAGTCGGGCTTCCAGTTCAATTTCATTTTCTTCCTTCTCGTAGTTGGTTGTCTTCTTGGTAAGTTTGTCTGGCTCAGTTCTGCGTCGGGTATTCTACTCATATGGGGAGCAGAAACGCTTGTCCTTCCATACTCGATCCAGTCTGGCTTTAAAGGCATTCACCGTGGTAGCAGTGACTACCTCTTCAGGAAGCGTGTTCCAGTCATTGATGACACGTTGGCTGAATGCATCCTGCCTAATCTTTGTTGAGCATCTTGTGTTGCTAGTCGAGTGTTCAAAGAAGGTATCAACTGGGATGCGTTCAAGTCCATGGATGATTTTGAAAACCTGAATCAGGTCGCCTCGCCGTCTGCGATATTCGAGGGAGGGAAGGTTGAGCGCCCGAAGTCTCTCTATGTAAGGACGTTTGCAGATGTCATAAATCATTTTGGTAGCTCTCTTCTGCACCCTCTCTATGGTTTTGGAGTCTGTCTTGAAGCGAGGGTACCATATGGAATCTCCGTAATCTATGAGAGGTCTGACAAGGCCTTTGTACAGCTTTGGAATTGTGGACCTGTCTCTGCACTCAAAGCTGTGATGGATACAGGAGAGTACTCCGTTGGCTTTCTTGACAGCATATGCCACATGGTTATGGAACTTTAGCTCGTCATCAATGAGGATGCTGAGATCTTTCTCCTCTGATGTAGCTTCAAGGACATCATCTCCAAGGGCAGAGATGTGTTTGACGTTTCCTGGGCCTATGTGTAGTACTTTGCACTTTTGTGTGTTGAAGTGCATTTAGTATGATGTTAGTATACACTTTTTCACAGGTTTCACGGCAAACCGCTGCACATATTACAAGTACATACCAATGGTGGGTTGCGGTTGGGCGCGCGCCTGTGTGAAGTCATCTACCTTACGGTAGATATAACATTTTCAGGGTGTCTGTGTGATAAAAGAGGCCTGAAGTGGAGAAATCAGTGATGAAACATGTGTTCAAAGGCTTTGTTACTGTATGGAAAGAGATTTAGTTTACACCAAATGCTCTGGATTGGATGAATTAGATGGAAGCTGATGAGTAGAACAAAACAAAAAAATCTTAACTTATTTCAAGTTGTCGTGTTCATATTGAAATTATTTAGGATTGTTAGCAAAGACTGTCTGACAAGCTATCATATTATTTTATTTTTGTTACTGTCCGTACACAGATCATCTTGCTCTGTTTAATACTCTGCAAAATGGCTGCATGTGACTCCACGTCCCCCCAGCAACTACTCCAGAAGCTGGTTCAGACAGCTCTTAGCAAGACGTTGGGATCCTCCCATTCAGTCCGTCTGGGAGAAGATGCTGAGGATATAGCTAGGTTTCGTCAAAGGCTCCAGACCAGACTATTCAATGCACTCTTGGGAAATCTCCCTGGACCACTGCAGCACAGCTGTTCAACCACACCCAAGGCCAGGAGATGCTGTCCCAGGGAACAACTCATTGTCATCGTTTTCAAGCTGAGAGCGCAAAGGAGGTTTGACGAAGCACGGCAAATGGAGCTGATCCTAGATCGTCTCTCAAAGTTGAGCGGTAAGTAGCCTTCACTTACACCCCTTAAGTTTTCAGGAAACTGGCAATTACTGTACAACCACTATTAGGGTAAAAATAGACAGTATAATGTACATCACAACATTTATTAAACTTAACATAGAGTTTGAGCTTGGATCTTTTTAAAGGTTCTCCATACACAAGGCAAATATAAACTATGTATTATTCATATTTTTAATTCAAGGAGACTAACATGAAATCACCCCCTCACAATTCATGAGCATGTTTTGGATTTTACATACAAAGACAAGCTATTCTGCTCCTAAAATATACAACATAAGGTTTTGGATGGTATAAACCACTGACAGTGATGAAAGGGGTGAAATTCAATATAAAAATACAAGGTCATGTTATATGATCCATGCCACACCCATGATATGCAAGGTGGAATCTTATCATACTTCCATGTTTCTGCTCTTATGAAGGAAGTATTTTGCTTAAATTATGTTGCTGTGTTTTGTTTCATGAACAGAGGAAGACAATGACCAGATGGAATTCCTGGAGAGAGTAATACAGTTTCTCCTGGCCCTAGCGGGAACCAAGCAGTCTTCTCACAAGTCTGCAGTTGGTCACCAGAAACACAATCTACCTTCAGTTGGTTTGACATCCCAAGAGGTATGTGGAGTTCAGTGTTTTTGAAGTAAAATAATAATAATAATAATGATAAGACATAAAATAATAGCAACGATAATGATTAGCCATAATAAAGGTATTTTTATTGGAAAATATAAGTATGAATCACAGCTCTAGTCGGCTTTTTACATTTCATACAAGTACAAATGTTATCAACTAAAAATAGCCAGGTTAAAATGCCTGTTATGCAATATATAAGAAAAATATGGAGTAAATCTTATCATCTTATTTATATGTTCTTTCCTTGCCAAGAGCTGATCAACTTTTCTATTGAGATGAATATTCTAATCTTTGTTCCTTTATTACGCATGCAGGTGTCCTGAAGTTCATTTTCCCCCTTCTTTTTAACCAATGAAAGCTTGTCCAAAAGATTTTCCTACTGTATTGATCATTTGTTTGTAGGATATGGCTGCTTTACCTGGAGGAGACTGGTTTCATGGTGATGGCAAACATGTTCTTAGATGTGATGAACATCGGCCATACATCCACTATTCAAGGTGCTGAGTAGTATTTATAATCATAAACAATATAGACTGTAGACACGGAGTTAGCCCGCAACTACTTTTTTGATGATAGATTAAATATTCCAAAATAGCTTTAAATCTATGCAACTTTGTGTTTTGTTAATTATGTAGATCTTTATTAACAAACGAGTTGAATGTCAATTTTCAATTTCCTCATGAGATTGACGTGTACCGGTACCTAAAATTTTGTTTTATTCATATAATTCATACAAGTTGGCCTTAATTTTCAATGTTAGACCTAAGCTAATTAATTTATGGATATTTGTATTTATTCATTGAACAGTCAGTTTTGTTATTGTTTAAAAATTTGTCTCTTGCAAAAGTTGATTTCACTGAACATTTCTACAAGGATTGTATTTGTATCTTCATTTTGTGTGTTTTTTTTTATAGGGAACTTTTTGAAGGTCCAAGCATTGGTCAGTTTGGTAATGACAGTGGAATATCAGAGATGTCCAGTCATGATAGTCTACTAGATAACAAGGTAACTTGTCATTTCTATAGGACCTTTTAAACGTTTTGATCTATTGTCATCCCATATAAATATCACACTTACGGTATATCATTACAAAATTGCAAGTACTGGTAATGGTAAGTTTATGGTCAGGGGCTTACTCAAGGACTTAAATGGGTATGACCACATTAAGAATAGTTTGATGTCAATAAAATCTCTGACGTAGGCTCATTTTCATAAATATTACATATTTGATCATCAAAAAACTTTGAAGAATTTTTATATTAGCCCTATGTCTGGTCAGTAGTATCATAATTTAAACCATATGATAACACAGAAAAGTGAATTTCACTAGAAAATAAACCGAAAATTAGAGCAAAACTTTGGTTTCTTCTTCAGTTTTGCAAGATTCCAGTTTGTATGCTATTCTGTGTATATTTTTTTCTTCCTTCAAGCTAATTCAATGATATTGCTATTTTTCATCAGATATTTGAAGCCGAGCCAGGCCAAGATCTGCGTGGTAACAGACTGTTTGCAGTCAAGGTCAGTGTTTCAGAGGCTATTAGTTGGAAAATTATAGAGATGACGAATGTCAGTTAATAAAATTTGATGATGATCATAGATTGGTCAAGTGTGACGTCATCAGAAATTATTTTTTAGAGTATCAAAATTTGAACTTCATTTTCCGAAAGAGCATAAAATATAATGTCCAAATGTTGAAAACCAATTGAATAAGTTGAGTATTGGCTGAGATATGCCCATCCAAATAAATTTATTTCAGTAGGAAATCACTGTTATTTTGCTCTGGTTCATAAAGGCTCTGTCACAAATGCCATTATGAACTGCTACGAATGCCGTACGAACAATTTTCAGACAATGGAAAAACAGAGATTCGTACGAACGCATCGTTCGTACGAACCTCTGTGACCGTAGCTTTACATTACGAACCAGAGCAAAATAACAGTGATTTTGTATTGAAATCTATTTATTACAGCTTCAGTACTCTATAGTAAAGAGACTTTGTAATGATTTCAATGTTTATGAAAAGGCTAAATTTTGTTCACAATCTGAATATAAGCATTCTGGTTATAAATCTATTTTCTGGGGTCTTTATGTACAGTATGCATGTAATGTAAGTTTTAATATTTATTTTACTTGTTGTAATCCACTTCTCATGATCTTAGATAGCGACCATATGAACAATGACATATATTAATGTGGTTAATAGACTAAGGGTAGAACAGGTCTTGTGTTGATATCTAATGGTTTTTAAAAATTAGTGAATAAATGCATGAAATGTTATGTAAAATAATTAAAATAAAAAGGAATTGCAACATTGCAATATTGACAACAATACTCTAAATATTTTTTTCAGAGCCTCATGGGTAATGCATATGAGAGGAAACTGAGAGAAAGCCTTTTTGGTGGCCTTGTTCATAGTCATGTAAAACACATTGATGCTAAGCTATCTCTACCAGAGCTACCAGACACAACCAACCCAGCCTTCCTGGGGATCAAAATACCTGCCTTCGCAGAGGTATACATGTGTTCTTACAATTATTTATGTTTGTCGGTGTTGCTGTGTATGTGTATGAACTTTGTTTACTGATTTCTGAGTTATAAAATTTTCAAAAATGTTGTCTCTTTTAAAATTGAATCGTGTTGGAATACCTTCACTTACTAAACAAAAAAAGAAGAAGAAGGATAGAAGGAGCAACAGAGCCTCAAAATATGGATTATGCCCATGTTTTGTGGAATTTAAGAGTGTCCAGTTTGCAAATATTTATTTTATCATCAGTCATGGGCAGTAAGGATCTAAGTGTTCTTGAATTTGAAGATATATGTTTGACATACATGTATTTGACATCATATTGATATAAGATATGTTGGCCCTGTGTACAACAAAGTGTTATATATGATGCAGAGATATATTTATTGTAGGAAGGTTTCCTTGTAAAAAAAAACAGTTCAAAAGCTTTGTGTTTTACTGGTGTGTGTATTTCAGTACAGATAAGTGTGCTCAAAGTGGGGCTAGGACCAAAATGAAGAATGGCAAAGCTTTAGAGTATATGATTTTGTAACCATCTGTTCTATTTCTCAGTCTGCCTTATCAGATGATGAGGGATACCATGAATCCATTTCGGGTTCCATAACCTCAGCCTTGTCAACACCGGAGAAAGAGAATATCTGGGATGCAGCACTCCGCTACAAGCCTAACAGACATAGAACATGGGAGAATATTGGAAAGTGAGTGGCCAGTGATGGATATCTCTATTGTTGTTGCTCCAGATTGTAGGTAAAATACATGGCTAGCATGACGAGGTCAATTGTTCTACCAGAAACACCAGTCCAAAGTAAAGGTCTAGCATTTGGTAAATAATTGTGATAACTACTAGTACATTTATCTAATGGTTGTAACCAGGGGGGGGGGGGAATGTTTTTATCTTCACTGAACATGGTTTTCTATAGGGTTTAAAATCTAGATATCATAAGCTTCATATTCATTGGGCTAAAATGAGTACTGGTCTATTTTGGGGTTTGTATGAATAATGTTTGGTTGGCTGTATATTTTCTTTGATCTGTCCCTAAGTTGTTTTCTTGATGCTTATTAGATTTTATCACCTTTGAATCAATTGACAATGCCAAAATCCAAAACTAAGGAGCATGGAGTTAATCATGATAACATAGTATCCTTGTCTTCCCACTGGTCCACCAGTCTTCCAAGACCTACAGAAAGACCCTACCTAACTGAAGCAGGCCCTGGAGCTCTAGACCTGGTCTATCAATTGAGATGCAAGGAAGCAGCCATTATCCAGCCTACCACTGAACCTGCACCAATCATCTTGAAAGACCAACAACGTTTGGTCCAACATACCTGGAATGTTTTGATAGGATTGCCTTCAGATGTGTTCCTGTATAACAAAGTAAGTGGAGATCCTACTTTGACTAGCCCATCCAATGCTTTGGGATGTTTTGTATTGCACATCTTTATGACATTACTGCTCATCAATTGACCAATAATTATGACATGGTCAATATAGATTTAAAGTTGAAACATTTGGACACACTTGATGACTACTGAAAGACCTGGGCCACCTTGCAGTAGCTATGTCCCACTTTGTATTTGTAACTTTCATGTATATTGAGGATTTCATAAGTTTGCTAGTTTATAAAAGACCCCATAGTCATTCTAGTCCGTTCATATGGTATGGATGTAAGCTTTGAGTTACATCAATAACTCTTTTGTCTTTGGTAAATAAGACCCAATTGTTTTCCTCTTTTGTAGGTCTATCAATAAGTATGTTTCAAATGTATAATTAGGTTTTTATAACACTTAACAGCCTCTTCATTTGCCACCGCTAAATGTCGTAGATAGCAATGTTAAACAGAGTAGGTATCTTAGTAGTTGTTACATGAAGAAGTTCTAGAAACCTAACATAAACTTTACTTGGCATGTTCCTCTTTCCTTGAAACAAAAGGAGGCAATGTCCTTCGGTGTCAACTCCCAGATCTGCCTGACAGGGACCACAACCGAGAGCCTCCAGCAGCTCCTCTCCGAGCTGGCCCAGGCAGGCACCGACTACACCCGTCTGTGGCACACCTCTCAACAACCCATCACCAACTCCACCTATACCGGTGGTCTGGTGCTCCAGGCCTTCCTAGGGGCAGTCAGAAGGTACCTTCAGTACTACAATGCTCAAGTGCTGCTTGCCCAGTCCCGATTGGAAGGGGATGCTACGGGTGAGATGGTGAAGAGGAGAGTGACGGTGCTTGTTATCAAGGCCAAGTTTAGTGGACTGTTGGCACAGTTGAGGTGAGAAATGTGTCTATAAAAGTAATGATATACATGGATATCATAGCATGTTGTCTTCTTTAAGGCGATCTGAAAATGAAAGCATTAGTGTATGTTGTTCTATGCCATTTGTATGATATTTATTATGAGATATCAAGATTTTTGTTATGAGAATGAGATTTTTAGTTCAAAATTTGCATAAGAATTTGGTGTTTTTCTGAATCCTTCTGTGGATATTGTGAGTATTAAAGTTTGATGTAAAAAAACAATGATTTTATGCCAATATTACATGTTTTTTAAAACTATCTTTGCAAGCAGAATGTTACATCACCTAATCATGTTTCCTCATACTTCCCTCAGTTTCTTGTTCATTGACTGTTGTCCTTTGCTTGACAGATATCTTGCCAGGTTATGTGGTTGTGATGGGAGGAAGGGTACCCAACCAGGGGGGCTCAGTGACCCCCTACCTATCGGTATCCAGCTCTTATCCATGCTCTACCAAGAAGCCCTAGACTGTACAGGCACAGAGAACTATCGCCTCATGCTGTCTCTCCTCAGGAGTGCATGTGCTCCTTATCTCATGTGAGTTAGTCTTTATGTTCAGTAGTGAGCAATTTAGCCAATGAAACTGTTTGGAAATTTCTAAAGAGCTTTTCTGGAAAAAGGCATAAAGTAAATAACCTCAGTGAAAATCTCACATATATCACAGCTAAAAAGAGCTCCCATTGAAGAAAAAAAAAAGTAACTAATTTTGCTGATATGTGATATTGGCACATCAATTTAATGCAATTGATCTTTTAATGATTTTCTTTTTTACTTGACTAGAGGTCCTTAAAACAATATTCCAAAGCTGGATTGTTGAGCTTGCTAAAATAATTGATATTATAAGGTAAATTAGATAAATACAGCTTCCTATCTCTTAGTAATATTAAATGTAAAGTTGCATTATTGTTTGAATAATCACCACTAAGTTTAAAGCTAACCTGTCTATGTTTCTTGATTTTTATTTTATTTTTATTGTGTATCTTAGGTTTATTCAAGACTGGGTATTTCATGGAATATGCCGTGATGCCTATGGAGAATTCATGATTCAAGCGAACCACACGTACCTCTTCTATAGAGGTATGTATGTATGCAGATTGCATATGCATTATGTAAGAAAAAGAGAAATTAGCATTGGAGGATAGTTTTATTATGCAGCCGACATAACAGCAATAAGAATGACAAATTGACTTTTGTTAAATATGAGTCTTAGTCATCCCGGACTTCACAAGCATCAGTAAAAGGGATTGAAGTAGCATTATCAGTCTTTTTAGTAATTGGAGTAGAAGTGGTTTTGATAACAGTTGGGAGTTGGAGCGTAGAGTACTGTTAAAGATTATCCCTTGCAGAACTTTTGTCATCGTCCTCTACTTCAGTAGCAGCAGCATTACAATGACATTTCTGCACAATTGTGTGATTACAGACAAGCACTACTGGACCCACGGATATGCCTTATTGACTGGAGAGAATAAGAGTGCTGTACCATTGTTCCTTCAGGAGCTATCTAGTGACATGTATGTCTGTGGGAAAACTATCAATCTTCTCAAGCAATGTGCACCAGAGGTGAGCCATTATATCTTGCTCTTTTTATCCCCCCCTCTCTCTCTCTCTCTCTCTCTCTCTCTCTCTCCTTTTCTTCTTCCTCTTCTTTTTTCATATCTCTCTTTTATCTCTCCCTACTTTAGTTTATTCCAACAAATCTCCTCTCATATTTCAATCTTATATCTACCCTAACTTAATGTCTCCCTTCTCTTAATATTGCCGAAGAACATAAGGTAAGAGTCTGAGGACAAACATAAAGTTTGGAGTAACTCCCAGGACAGTATTGTACAATGTACATACTAATGGACCTCCAACACCTGTATACAAATTAGAATAGTTAACAACATTGTCTCCTCTTGATAATCCCCAGCACTTCATCTGCAACCCAACAGTGGACCCACCCTGTGTAGGGCTAACCTTCTCTACAGAGGAACTGGACCAGGTGACAAGTAGGACCAAGACCTATGTCAGGTACATGGAGGTCTTAGCTGGTCAGCTTACCGTATCCAGGAGAGAAAAGGTGAGGATGTGGATTGCATGCTGGTCGTGTGAAGGATCTGGGCCCTGTTTCATAAAACTTGATATCAATAACAAGTTATAAGCTACTGTTATAAGCTACTGAATCAAGGCATCTGATTGGCTGAGAGCAAATTTGTCATAGAAATTTAGCAGTTGTTATAGATAACAAGTTTTATGAAACAGGCCCCTGCAGTCATTATTTGGAGCCATTGTTAAACAATATACAGCCCTACAAGATTTGGTTGACTGTAAATTTTAAACGGTTTTCAATATGGAAAAGTGAAGTGTGTTCCGATACAATGATGTCTAAGAGAGGAAAGATGCAAGGTTCGGACAAGTGAAATTCTGAAAAGTCTGAATTGTTTTGTGATATAGTCAGATAGGAATGAGACAATTTTCTAGTTTTTATCAAAAACTTTAACCTAATTTGAAAATAGGTAATAAAATTTCATTTTTGTGTCAGAAATATAGATTGATGGCTCTTTTATGCAAATTCAATCTGGAGTGTAAAATCTTGCTTTCAAGAATGCTTCTCACTTATAATACAAATTAGTTTGAAATATGGGCGGGTTTTATTGGAATTGCTATTATTTTCTCCATGAATAGGAGACGAAAGAAGAAGAAGCAAGGATTGAGCTGCTGGCAGCAGCCAGACGTACTGCAGCCGAGGAACAGCAAAAACATAATGGTAAGTAGAAGATTTATGCAATCACATTTGGAGTGGGTGAGGAAATCATTATGATTGATCATATGATATTATTTTGAAACCACTTTTTTTTTGTGTAGTCAAATGGCAGGAGTCCCCAAACCAGGTATTTTGACAGGTTCATCTAGGGTTTTCATTATACCATTTAATAATTTTTAATATTTGAAAGGCAACAGCTGCAAAAGACTTGGTAGTTAACTTTTCCTCACACCAACACTATTCATTCTTAGTAGAACAAATTAAATGCTGTCGTTCATTCCATTTCTGCATTAAAGTGATTGTTGTGAAAATAATCATAGCATGAAATACCCTCCATAATACATCATTTAATGCAAGATGCCTTTTTGTATGCATTGTTATCATTTCAGAAAAAATGAAGGACAAGCGTAAGGCTATTGGTGCCAGAAAGAAAAAAGAACTGAATGAGCTGAAAGAACAAATGCAGAAAGATTTGTTGGTAAGTGATACACGACACATTCCAGGAAATCACCAAGCAGATTTTTTCTGTTTTGTCAGTGTTGTATGAACCCAGTTACATATTTTTACTAAAGTGGAAGCAAATTTATTGAAAGACTGATTATGTGCAGTAGAATCATTAAGATATCTAATTTTTTGGGGTATGATTTTGTGATAAATGTAACTTGCAAGTTTATCTTTTACCAGTAATCATCCTTTTGAAAATATGTACTTTGGGACATATTTCCAGAGAAGAATAATGTGATGAAACAATGAGATCGGTCTCTTCCAATAAAATTTGACATATTTTGTTTACTTTGCAGAGGCGTGGTCAGGAGCTTGAAGAGGAAAGAGAAGAAGATAGAGAAAGGATGGAAGAGGTGGCAAGAAGACAGCTAGCTGTAGAAGAAGCTGAAAGTGAACTAGAAAAACAAGCAAGGTAGGGATACACATCTGCTTGTCGGAGCAGTATTCTAATCCTCTGACACATCAAATGCACAATCCTAGATTTTAAGCTTGTCAAAACACATTAGATTCTTACATGTATTGTTAGATACAAATTGAGGTACTATGATTGAAGTGCGTCTTTTGATAACAAGTTGTATTTTGTTATACTTGCCTTAAAGTTTACTCTCTCTCTTTCTTTCCTTTCTTCTACCTTTCTTTCTTTCTTTCTTTCTTTCCTTCTCTCTTTGTGTGTTTGTTTGTTTGTTTGATTCTTTATGTGTTTGTTTCTGCTTTCTTTCTTTTGTGGACGAGCGACATGCCAGATGTAATCATCCAAAATATATCTAAGTCATGGTTTGATCTTGTTTGTCTAACCATGAATGCATGCTATTAATACAAAAGATTTCATTTCATGTTGTCACGTCTTATCTCTTGCAGGGAGGAGGTGATCCAATTCTATTCAGAACTGGCCAAAGATGCCACAATGAGGGAGCAGAGGGCTCTCTGGAGAATACGAAGGAGACAACTGGATCAGGAAAGAATTGAGTTCTTACAGAAAGACAAAGAGGCTCTAAAACAGGAACTCCAGGCTCCACTAGCCCCATCATCAGTGGCATTGGCTAGGAAGGATGTTGGTGAAACCAAGGAGGCTGGAGAGTCTTCTGTGAGATTTTCAGACCTCACAGACGATGCGAAGACAACAGCAGCAACAGCAGGGGAAAGTGAGATCAAGTCAACAGCAATATCCTCTGATGAAACAGGAATTGCGGATGAACAGGAAACAGTTCCCGTCGCAGGAGATGACACTAAGACAAAGAGTGCAAATGAGATAAATGCTCCTGGTGAAGTAACAGAGGATGCGGCTAAAGGAGAAACTGAAGTGCAAGAAGTTTCAATGGACTTTGTGGACGAGTCAGAGCAACAAGATGCTGACATTGGCGAAGATCGTGGTGATGAATTGGATGTGGGGGGAGAAGAGAATGAGGAGATCGAACCAGTTCTTGCTCTGATAAGAGGAGATCAGAATAGAGGATCTGCTGAGGTGTCATCTAAGGAGACCAGAGTGAAAAAGGCCAAAAAAGGAATCTCTATCAGAGAATTTTTACCCAAAGACCAGATTGATGGAGATGATACTCTACAGGAATCAGATGAAGAACAAGCCAAAGATACCGCAATGGACGATGTTCTGTTGGAGATTGGTTCTTCCTTACCAAGTCAAGATGCTGCTATACAGGTAGAAAGAGCTGCCCATGGTACGATAGGAGGTGGTAGTATTCTAGATGATATCATTGGTGAGGACAAGAGCCAAAGTGGTAGTGATGATGCTGATGGAAGAATTGTAGGATTAGCACATAGAGCACACGCACAGGGTCATCCTTCTGCAACATCATTAGATGAGGACAATTCTAATCTGGGACTTCAACGAAGACATGACCATGGGCATGCCTCAGACTCTATTCTTAAAGTTGGACGGGATAGTGCGGGTGTCGCTGCTGCTGAGGATGTGTCTGTGCCTGGTCTCCCTCAAAGGGCACATCAGCATGGTCATGCCACAGACTCTACAATCCAAAATCTTGGAGAAATTCAGGAGAGCCCAACAGAAGAGGCGGGTAGATTAATTGGGGTACCACATAGGTCTCAAGTGCATGGGCATGTGTCAGCATCAGTAAAAGATCAGGAAGGTGAATCCGATGTGACGTATGGTACAACTGAAAAGCTTCCACAGAGGTCACACATACATGGTCATCCATCACAGTCTTCCATAGAAGGTGTAGGAGGTGCAGGAGGAGAGCCCTCTCAGCATCCACCAGAAAGTGTCCATGCCAGGAGTGTTCATGGACATGCCTCGGACTCTGCTCTAGGACAGCACAGTACTATTGGACAGCTCGGTGTAGATGACAACAATATTGTAGGACTTCCTCAAAGGCCACATGTCCATGGTCATGCTTCAGATTCAGCCATGCAGGATGTAATATCAGGTGCAGAATCTGAAACGGTACTATCTACTAGAAGTAGTCGAGCATCTATTGAGGGTGTGCGTACATCCGATTCAGGGTATGACACCCAGCAAGCCCAAGGAATGCCGTCCTCATCCTCATCCTCAGCTAGCACTGGCCTACCAGGGGTACCTCACAGACGTCCCCTAGCCCCTCAGAGAACAGAACCGGAGACCGATCAAACAGCAGGAGCTCTTGCGGATATCCCACATCGATCTCATGCCCATGGACATGCCACTGACTCGTCACTAGGGAGTGTCATGTACCAGTCTGCAGGTGGTTCAGGTGGTGCAGGTCCGGAGACTGACCAAACAGCAGAAGCTCTTCAGGATGTCCCACATCGATCTCATGACCATGGACATGCCACTGACTCTTCACTGGGGCGTGTCATGTACCCCTCTGCGGTTAGTCCAAGTGGTGCAGGAGAAGGGCGTCTAAGTGTCCAGAAGGATGGGAGGGTGGTCTTCAGCATCTTGAAACATGGCCATCCATCTGACTCTTCAGCTCAGAAGCTAATGTATCCTCTGAAAGAAACTCTCCCTGAAAATGAAGAAGGTGAGAATCTAATATCCAACATGACTAATGTGTGAGAAAGTGAAAGCATATGGATATTTTCTCTTCCCTTGTGGATTTGTAGATAGAATGTGATATTTCAGTTTTATCTAGAATATGTAAAGTTGATAGAAAGTGGTATTTCAGCTTATCTAGAATATATAAAGTTGAAATAATGTTATATTTCAGTTTATCTAGAATATGTAAAGTTGTCACACTAAACTAGGGTGCATTGTGGATTTGAGGAATGTAATTTTGACCTCTCAACCTTAATTTGTGGCTTGTTGAGTTTTATTTCAAATTATATGAAAACTTCATATGATTTTCATCCCTCACAACTTGTGTATCTTGCAGATACTGTTGAAGCCATTGAGTTGCCTGTCACTGTATGGGCAGACGAAGGCAGAGAAGTCACAGAGTTTGACTTCAATATGTTTGGTAAGTATTTTTAGGTGTATCAACGATTCAAACCTGAAATGGAGTCAACATCATTCTTAGCATATTTTCATATTCTTTTATATATATGATTTATTATTCATTATTCATTGAGTCCTTTTGAGAATTCTTTCTAAGACAAAAGTCATTTGTATGGTAGAATTCACCCTGAGAGTGCCACTCTGAACACTTCCAAAACAATGTTTATTTGTGTCATACCATTCCTTCTATACTGTATATCCTTTACCAAATGTTTTAATCAAACTTTATGACACTCATGATTATCTAAGCTACATTAGTTGAATTACAAGTCATTTCTTAGATATACCAACCAAGTTTTTATTAGAATCATTCAAATCTATCTATATTTTGAAGGTTGTTTAATTGTCAATCTCCATGGAAAATCTGTTGTCAAGCTATATTGAAAACCTGTATTTATGCAATGTCATTATGAATTCATGATTCTATTCCACCTTTACCAGAGGGCCTGCCCAACTCTGACTTGCTTGGCAGAACTGGCTTTGAACCTCTGAAGTCCGAGATCGGTGACTATGGTGTACTTGCATCACAGAGTGAAGATATCGAAGCTACAGATCTTCTTCCTCTACCTATCATCATCAAGAGATCCATCACTGCCCCTCTCAGAGCTCAGTAAGTAATAATAATAATATACCGTACTTATACAGTGCATATCACATTATGTCTCTATGCGCTGTTAGAAAGAGTAAGAAGGAAATGTGGATAGAATAACATAAGAATGAAATATGCTCAACATACAGATACAGTATTCCTAGCTCATGTGCAGAGAAATGATGGTGTTTTGTCTGTTTATAAAAACGATTTGTTTATTATATGTAGAATAATCCCAACTGCAGTATTCAATGGTATGTTTATGGATAAATATAGATACGTTTAGAGGCATTTATTTGTATAAGAAAGCAAATGAAACATAGCTTACTCTGTTCATGTTAAAGAGATGATGTATTAATGTACATTATGTGTTTTCTTCTCAGAATGCCTTCATTTTGTTAGTAAGCTTTGATTTGCTTTCTTATTTTATTTTATCCCTTTGTATCAGAATTAAATTCTTGATTAAAACTCCTCAGTCACATTGAATGAAAAGAAGAAATTGTAAGCTGTCTGCTTTTAAAGCATGAGCGAGGTATGTATACCAGGTGCTGTTATAATCAAGATTGAGAAACATTCAAACTTTTCCTTTCTATGTTACTTCTTATTTTGTCAGAGTTTGGCTGGTGAACCAGAGCATCTTAGATTACTTCCTGGTCGACCTCCGTATTGACAAGCACTTTACAGCTCTCAGAAGGTTTCTCTTCCTCCAAGATGGGGAGTTTGGACATTCTCTCTGTGATCAGATCTTTGATAAAGTGAGTCGGCAAGTTTAGTTTGAAAGTTTGAATACCTTACTTAGAAAAATTATGTATGATGTCTGCAGATCTTTTGAATCCTTTGTAAAATATTTTCAAAGTTGTTATGAATTATTCAACATCCACCTGCTGTGAGAGAATTTGAATGCTTACAATATTTTGTGTATGTTTCTTGCAATCCTAGCAGTTTACTAATCCATGTTGATGTTTGTTTGACAAACCTGTAATCATTTGTTTCTCAGAGAATATCACATTTCTTTATCTTTACTGAAGGATGATTGCTATGTCACTATATCCTCTTTACATATAGTAAAACTCCAGCCTACTTACGTAAAGTAACCGTTAATATTTGAACAAATGATGCTATTATTTATTCCTTTAATTACTCCATTGTTTGATGGATACAAAATTGAATTCAGAAAGGTAGCATTAGGAATCAGAGATCATAATCTATCTCTCTCTCTCTCTCTCTCTCTCTCTCTTTTGCCCTTTTAGCTGGCCCAATGTGTCCATCTCCAGGAGCTGCTATCCCCTCTTACACTCAACCAGATCTTATCCAGAGCTATCCAACTCTCTGCCAGCTCAGACTCTCAGCAAGCTGATAATCTCAGCTTCGCTCTCAAATGGCATCCATCAGTTTTCAAGCCAAATGGTAAGTAGACAGGAAGATACTCTGAATATCAATCTTATTGATGCTAGTCTGTCATGCTTGTACATAAGTAGGTTTAATAAGAGAGGTTATACTTAAATATATATATATATATATACAAGCGTGATGTAATGTCAATATGGAACCCTTTGGAGACCAGCTTTTAGCTGAAAAGGGTGATCCTTCCCATATGTAGAAAAATAAATGAATAAATAAATAAATAAAGATATTAGAGTAAATTGAAATATGAACTTTTCATTCTTGGCCATCAATGTACATGTATGATTGCATAAGAATTTATTGATTTGATTTGAAAATCTGTACTTTTTTCCCCCAGCTATTGATACTTTGGACTGCCTTGAGCTAAGATATCATGTAAGTAATACCATGGCAATAGATGACATATTCTATTCTTTTAATATTGTGCTGTAGATATTTTTAATAACCAAATCCGTTGCTCGTCACATTATCTGTTTTAATTCTCTGCCCTACTAAATGTGCTAGCAGATAATTGCCTCAGCATAGTTGATGAGAGTTAAGCTTGTTTGATATATTGAGCATACCATTTCTCATGCTGTCATTTTCCCTACAGTTGTATTTCTTGATTACAAATTGAGTTTTAGACCACTGGACATGATCAGTTGAATTGAAATGAAACTTTAATGCGTAAAGTCAGTATTATGTCATTCAAACAAATCTAGTGAAATTTAATTTGGAGAGAAAATAGATTGTCAAGATGCATATTATGCTGAAAATTGAGCTAAAACTGTAATTTTGTATGGACCGATATCGGTGTAGCATAGCTTGTTATCTATTCCATTGTTTCATGCTACTGACATACAGGTTGAGTGGCCCAGCAACATAGTGATTACAGACACATGCTTGTCCAAATACAACAAGGTCTTCTCATTCCTGCTCCAGCTCAAACGAACGGGTTGGGTTCTTAGAGATATCCATCACCAACTAAAGATCAGTGGTAAGCAATTTGATCAATTTATATTCTTGCACTCTATGTGGTTCAGTGGTTTAGTGTTCAATGGGCTTGGTAATACACTTTTTACAAAAAATAAATGTATTTCTTTCTAGTTACATATAAGTCATTTTGTAGAGTTTATGCTATGCCTGTGGGAGTTATACTTTCAAGAGAGTTTTCTGATTATCTAGTACATGCATATCATAACACAGAAAAAGATAAGTTCTTCCACTACGAGTTAATGTTGTGTTCATCTCAGTGTATAGTAATGATCATTAGCATTTGGTCATGTGCTTGCACCCATGTAGGTGTCATAATAAACATTTATGATACCATGAGTTATTCAGTTGTATGACCTTTATATGTCTAGTTCTCTATATTCATGTAAAGAAAAGAGAAGATTGAATGTGCATAATTTTGTCCAATTTCCTTTCATTCAGCAATGTTTCATCAAGCCAGTGGATCACAACAGTATCACCAACTGCAGATTTTCAGGTATTGTAGCCATTGTACCAAGTAGTTGCAGCAGTATTAACAGTAGCAGTAGGTGCCACTACCAAGTTGTTTGGAAATGTGTCTGTTCTCTTCTTTCCTTTGTGTACAACAAACATTATTTCCTTACATACTAAGAAAACCTAGAAACTTTTTGTTTACGTGTATGCCATATGAATTATGTAAGGGCTATATACCACAACTACATAAACCCTGTCATTTTTCGAAATATATATTTGATGCCCCCAAATCCCACACATTATACATCTAGTGTACAGTAGATGATCATTTTGATAATAAGCTTTATACTGCAAATGGTTGGAAGTTTAATATTATGAGGAGTGCTGCACGATTGCAAAGGTCCTGTCTTCAGTCTAACAAGGGTTTTTTGTCATCATTGTAGGCACGAGATGCAGCATTTTGTGAACGTGATGCAAGGCTATGTGGTCAACCAAGTCATTCATGTCAGCTGGGAGGAGTTCCAAAAAGACCTCAAAGGAAATGTAAGTTGAAAGATGACTGAATTTTATTAATCGCGAAGGAACAAGCAATTGCAGAGTGCTTTGAAATTAAGAATTCAAAATCAAGAATGTGGTCCTCTTGCTGTCATGGAATACATGCCCTTTAATCTAATTTGCGTTCCGATCAAATGTTTGGAACTTAATACAAAGCTGATTGCTTTTTTTTTCACAATGGGACATGTTTGCTAATAGTTTCGTTACTTTTTATTAGCTGGTAATGAATTTTTTTTTTTAAACACTAAAAATAAGAACTACATGATTGTACAATTTTCTATAACGGTGTAGAGTATTCTTCCAAAGTCATGTAAGAACTCTATTTATAATAGAGTCAGTATTGTTTTATGTTTCATTATCTATTGAAAATCAGTAGTTTCATATGTACCGGTTATGGTTTACAATTAAGTGTGCTCATTATGTTTTCTTTCTCCCCAGGTGCATAACCTTGATGATATCCGAGAGAAACATGGACTCTACCTCAACAAAGCTATTCTCAGGTTAGTCGAGATTGTAGAATGCAGCTTATGTTTTGAGTTTTAATAACACACACTCGTGGTGGAAGATCAGTGAAAGTGTGGATATATCTTTCTTTAAATTGCCAGCACCTGAATAACCTGGATTGTCAAACTAGGTTGCTGTAGCATAAAATGCTATTAAACTTGTGAGCCGTGATGACAAGTCCTTTCAATGTCATAATACTCTATTATCAGTTTACAGAACATCATTACCTTGTAAGACTTGCCCTGCCATGTTGATTGTTACCGTACTTTACAAATCCATGTGCTCAAAAATGTACTTATAATCAATTGATTAATTCCAATTAATTTCCCGTTCTAGATGCCTTCTTAATAAGAAAGCCGCTCCAGTGATGAAGATTATCTGTGATATCCTAAGCCTAGTCTTGAAGGTTCGTACCCAGCTCACATCGGCTCCATGGGCCTGGGATGCCTCCTCTGGTCAGGTCATTCACCCCTGCTTCAGGAACATCAAGAAGTCTTACATGGCATTCAAGGAGTACTCTGGATTCCTATACAAAGGTAAGGAAAGGGATGATTTGTTTTTTGTTGTTGAGTTTTTGTTCAGGAGAGGGTGTCTGAGGAGAAAGTTATACAATTTCTAATGAAACTAAAATGAAATTATTAAAACCAGTATTATAGACTCTGAGCTGAAATCAGTGGATCCTTGATTTAAATGTCATTTAAACGTATGATGAGTAGAATTAAGTATGTAGCAAATTTCCTCCTAGAATCCATGTATTATAGGTAAGATTATCATGTTATGTATTATTTTGTTTTGATAATCATTATATGTTTTGTATTAATTTCTTTTCCTATCATATTCACTTAGTCTGTCATTAAGAACAATTTCATAACGAACTTACTCTTTTGCAATTGGAATGGACATTGATAAGTGAGTGTTCAAATTTTCTAGATGCATTGAGAAGAGTTATCAGATTTGGGGAAGAGATTAAGAAAATATATCTGTTCCTGATCTTGCGAACTGATCAGTGAGTAATGATATTTTGATTCTTGTCTTTGTTCAGTTGTCGCCAAGCTGGTAACCCGTGGCTACCAACCTCATCTGGAAGAATTCATGCTGAGACTCAACTTCAATGACTACTACCAAGAACACAAGTCATGAGAAGATGGGAGTTGTATCAAATCAGTCTTCCATCCCCACTCTCTATGTCTTCTGTTTGCATTTCTCTGTCTACTTCTCAATTTTGTGTCTATCTCTTCTCCCACCATCCCCTCTGTCTTTCTCCTAGCCCCCTTGTTCTGATTCCAGCTTAGTCAACCTCCTCTTCTCTCTGTCTTTCTACATCTTTCTTTTAAATGAAAATGGTGGGGTTAATATGATGGTCTCTAAGCCAGGGAGGAGATGAATCTGAATTGGACTATGAGATCATGCATGACTCTCAATCATGTTTCTATGTACAGGCCATGATTTCTTCTCTAAAAACATTGAAGTAAGAATTACCTATAATTACAAAAACCCAAGATTATATTGCATATACAATCGTGCGAATGACTTTTTAACGACTTTTCCCAAAAGGTAACTTGCTTTAATGTTTGTTTTCACTTCTCATTGTAAGTGAATGTGTGTACCCATTCAGAAAGGAAGAAGATTCTGAAGTGTTTTGTATGACATAATAACGTTTACATCTTTGTGATTGATTCTATATTGATGTATGATTTCCAAATAGGACAATGGATTTCCCTTCTGAAATTCATAACGACAAATAAATAAAATAATAAATTGATTAATAAACAACTGTATTTGAGATTTAAATGAATTTGTCAATGCAAGTATTAAGAGGTACTATTTAGTACTATGACATTGTTATGAAAATAATTAGATCAGTTATTAATCTGACTGAGAATAAAAGAAAATCATCTCTAATACTAAAAGGCAAGTATTTTAGTTGGCATAACTAGAGAAATAATTTCAAAGGAATCCCTTCCATTATTACAACCCATATTATCTTGCTTCTCATCACCTTCTAGGCTGATTGTCAACATGTATGTTTTGACAAATTGAATAGCACTTTTTTTTTGGACGTTAAAATACTACAAAAATTGATTGTTTAACGACAGTTTATTGCTCTTTTGTTTGTTTGTTTGCTTTATTTTTTGTAATCTTCTTGAAGATTCTTGCCCTTTTGAATGTGTAATGTACTCTACTAGTAAGTGAGTTTAACTAATATCTCAAAAGTTGACTTTTCAGTTCATAACTGTATCAAATGGGCTGTACTTGTGAAGTAATTTTGAAGAAAAAAATTACTAAACTCTTATTTGCTTTTTGTATGACTTATTTATTGTTTGAAATTCTGTTCATATATTTTCTGGATTTATACTTGCTTTATCACAAACTGTTTTGCTGTACTGTATTTACGTGTATGTAAATAACGTTTTGTAAATTTATAACATGGATGTGTAAAAATGTTTGTGTATATTTGACAGATTTCTTGAAAATTAAAATGTTCAATAAGAGGGCATTTCTATAAAATTGTTATTGTGCTAGTGTGTTTCTTTGTTTGATGAAGTTTGTAAGGTAGATAAAATGGTTATAAGGAACAAATTTGGTGTTATAGGGGCAGATCATCACAATGATTTTTGTTTTGCAAGGTCAAGTTTATTCAAATCTTGAAAATCATGGTAGACAAAATAACAAAATTATGTTGAGGGTGACTACTTATATGTCAAAGTGGAGTTTCATGTAGCTTTCAATTCAGTGAGTTTGTCCATTTTACAAATGTTTTTAACCCTCGATAGTTGGGGGGGGGGGGGGCAATAATCAATCTTAAAAAATGTCAGTGGACAAATAATTTCACATTTTTCATATAGTTGATAGTGGATTATAATGAATTTTTTCTAGATTAACAAAAATAAAATACAAAAAGATTTCTGCCCTGATGTAATAAAAATGAGAAAATTCAGAATTTCAAGAAAAATTAGCATATTTGCAAAATTAACTACAATTAAAGGTATGGAATTTCAATACATGTCATTAAATTGACTGAGCTATCTTTTGGATCAATGACAAGCTACAAACATGCCAAAGTTGAATGCACTCTCCATAAATGGGAGGGGGGAATGAGAATTCTGTTACAAAAATTGGATATTTACATCATTAATTACTGACAAAATTTTAGAACAACAACTAGATATCATAAATTTGACTATGCATTCTTGTAAAATCCATGATGGGACACAGACTTGCAAAGTTTCGCCAAAATCGTTTGATAATTGGCGGAGATCTAGGGAGGGGAGGCCAAATTCAATCTTGATGGTATAAACTCTAGAGAAAGGAAAGTAGAACAATCAGAGAAGTAGACTGGTGAAAGTTTGGACTTAATCAAACAAAAAGTGAACTAAATATATTGAAATAGGTGTATATGGGCAGTTTTCATACATACGAACTTATTACAAGGGTTGAATTGCCCTTCAAATGCAAGATAATAGTTCCACCGGCACGCGCACTTTTAATCTTTTAATGTAAAGCGCATAGATAATTAATTACTAATCATTATCATGTGCTAAATAAATCGGAAGTTAATTATCATTTATAATTATATGCAAACAAAAAACATACGCAAATTGGATCGGGAAAAGACTACGGCGCGCGCCGGTTCAATGAACTTTTGTTCCTTAGAAACGGCGAATATGGCGTCTGATGCTACGGAAAGTCGACCGCAAACTGTGTCGTTCAGCGATCTGACGGAGCGAACTCCAGAAAATCTTGAGGCTGAATTAGTGCCAGAACCTCCAGTTCAAATCACCAATAACTCCAACGATGTACAAATCGACTCTGATGGAGACGAAGCAGAAGAGCAAGAGGTGAAAAATTGTTTACCTCGACTATTCTTTTTAATATTCGTAACACAGTCCCATGAATGCATTTGTGCGTTTGTTGGTGTGAGTGGCACTAAATTCCGCTGGGCCTGGGAGAGGAGTTTAGTTAGAGGAGTGAATGTGTGTGTGTGCTCACTTATTTTAACAAGTTTACAAGTAATCTTTTAAAATTTGTGTTGGACAATATTTTTAGGACAAATATTTATGATGGTTAGGTCTAGGTCTATTGCTATTTGATGCTTAATTTTTGGAAAATCCAAACTCAAAAATATGACAGCTAGCTCTAGCTCTAGACTATGTTGTTGTTGTTGTTTTAGTTTTAAGGGCGTGTGTGTCATTCAATTATGAATATTTACGCCGAAGAGTGAGAGTAGAGTATTCTAGATCTAGGGTCTACAGTCTTCTTTTGTGAAGTGTCTAGTCTAGTCTAGATCTAGACACACAACCCCTGACTTACTTTACACACAAAAAGACTGCAAAATTAAAGACACACACTGGGTATCGAGTTTGTCCATACCTGTCGGTCAAATGATATCTTACTGGATATTTCTCAGGACAAATAATTTATATAACATCGATTCATCAATCTTCTTTTTCACAGCCTTGCCCAGATGGAATTCTCAATGAGCAGGCTATCGAGGCTGGACTTTCAAACCTGGGAAGATCTGCAGATGGAATGCAACTCACTTTTCTCAACCTCACCTTGCCTGTAAGTTACAGTTGATCAAAGCTGTTATGTGAAAGTTTATGATATGAGATTGGCATCCATTAGAGAAAATTAAATTGATTTGAATGAGATACAACTAAGTACGAAGTAACATCTTGAAAATATACATTATTGATTTGTGTCTAGCTACTTCAATACTTTGATGATTAAAACTTATTCATTATATTATCATATCAATAATAATCATTACATTACTTTTTTCTTTTCGTTCTTTCTCTCTTTCTTTCTTTCTTTATATCTTTCTTTCTTACCATATTTATTTCTTTCTGTTTGTCTTTATTTCTACTGTAGGGTTACAACCTGCAAGGGATTAACATCCTTGAAAACTATGTTCATCTTCAAAAGGTAGAACTGCCTTACAACAGAATAACAGGTTGGTACTTCATTTGAATTTCAATTATTATATATTTGATGTAGAGATTACTGCAAAGTATTTGATTTTTGATAATAAGAGGGTGAGGAATGAATATAGGTTTCCTCTTGTACAAATTTATTTTTCATTTTTCATATCATTTTGTTTGATATAAGATGTGCCATGTCTATACTTGCTGTTAAAAATTAAATTCATTCAATAGAAATGAAATGTTTCTTTACTAGGGTCTACATACATGCCAACTGTTCAGATTAAAGAGGAACATTCCTCTTTTTGGGAGAAGATAATTATCATTTTAATGCAGGTGTTCCTCTTCCTGTACAAATTTGTCTGTAGTATTGAATAGGAGAGTTAGGATTGTTCCTCTTTTTTTTTTTAAATAGCATAATTTGTACAGATTTCTGATTTTCAAATGTTGGCATGTATGGGTCTATGTTAACTCCCACACCTCTCTGTGCACATTCCTCTGAAGAAAAAAAAAATTCACTGAAAGACAAAGAACATCAGTCTAATTGTTATGAAATAATGTCCATTAAAGATTGCCAGAGTATGATATCTAAATGATACATGAAGAAAACAAATTTGGCCTCTGCATAGTATGAAGTGTTGGTATGGTTTTCATTTATATATTTATGAAGTGACTTTTCTTTTTTTGTGTTCATCATTTTGAATAGATATTACTGTCCTTGGATGCATGCCTTATTTGGTTGAGCTAGATGTATCCCACAATGAAATCACAAATCTACTGGACTTCAAGCCTCCATTCAACCTACAGGTAAGAGATTTAACCCAGATGAAGAGTTCTGCTATGAAAATGAAAAAACACTATGTAATTCGGTCAGAGTCTAACGTTGTCCAGTGACCCAAGGACATTTTAACGAGGTATTTCCTGATTATATTAAGCTTAGAATCATCAAGTCTCATTCAAGTTTTTTTCTTTCAGTCTTAGTAATGAAAGCCAAGCAACAAAACAGTATCCCATCCTGTAAACTTAAGCTGTATTTGTTATAAATCACATCTTCAGAAAAATGGATGATTGGTCATCCTAGGTTTGATTCTGAAAAATACTATGCTGCTTTCTCTTGAAATTTGTGTATTGTATTGACATTTCGAATTGTTCTAATTTCTAACTAAATTTTAGAATGTAATAAAGATAATATTCAAATCTTGTCACTGGCATTCTTTTCATTGTTTCAGGAGGTTGACGTGTCTTTCAACAAGATCACTGAGATGGGTGATTTGTCCGCTCATCATGCTCTCACCAAGCTGGTCCTTGACAGTATCCTTTTATATTTCCATATAATCATAATTTCTTATCCATTGATCATTTCATCAATGATGATGGATGTATACTTTTTGTTTCATAATAGATGTTTAAAGCATGAATGCAGTAAAGCTATTATTATGTTCATTGGTCATCACTCTCATGTTTGTTTATGTTTCTTTGTTTTGTTTTCTACTTAATTGGTAATGATAACATCTGACATGAGCTTCTTGTACAGTATAGACAAGAAAAAATTGATGACTTCATTTATTATGTTGACCATGATACGTGAAAAAATTGCAGATCACTTATTTAATGACATTATAGATTTAGAACTTCAATTTGTTTTGGTTATGTATTCATTGTACATGCAGATGTATTTAAGTATGTCTATTTGTAGGGAATATGGAATTCTACTAGAGATATGTGAACAAAGAGTTGAATGTATAATCACACTCGATGAACATTTAGCTAAAAACTGACTATTTCTCACTTTGATTTTGATCAAGCCAACTTGTTTGAAAGAAAATGGATTAAAGGGCAATGCCAATTACATGTAGCAGATACAGTTTTCTGTTCATGTTTTTTTTTCCAGCATCCATTATCCATTTTTACTTTTGTGAAATTCCTTGATTCAGTATTCCTCCAGACAACCAACTGTCGACCATCACAGGAATAGAGAATTGCCGCTGTCTTCATCACTTGGGTCTGGCTCACAATAACATATCAGTCATTGAGAAGCTGGATCATCTTCCTCTAAGGTTCATCAACCTGGTAAGATGTATGCTCAATGCATTTCTGCTAGCTGATGTGAATATGGCAGGGCAGGTATTCCATGTGCTGCTTAAGGGATGATTTCTGGGATTTTGTGGCATGAAGGTCTTGTGCCTCATTTTTCTCATTCCAGAGTTATGATCAGCTGCAACTCTCTATCATTAGGTCATTAATGATCAAGGCATTACTTCTTATCTAGTAGAAGATGGATCCAAACCTATCCTATGTGAATTATGTTTGCATACAATTTCTTGTCTCTATTATAGAGAGTGATCATTGTTTTCCATTATCTTGCAGTAACGAATAAGATTTATCTTCAGTCAATATGAGATGCCATTTAAAGAAGATATGTCTATATCACTAGTTGTGCGTCACTGTGTGAAGGTTAAATATGAAGTTCAAAAAGTGCAAAATTGTAGCTAATGCAAATATAAAGAGAAGGGAAATAATAAGAAGAATATTTCATTTACAAAGCAGCTTTTCATAAAATACTAAACACTTATAAAGAAAGCGAAAAAATTGTCACACAAAGCTTAATCATGTAGAAAGACGAAATTGTGTATGTTTTCTCTCTCTCTCCTATGAATAGCGATGTAACCAGATCAGTATAATTGAGAACCTAGACACGCTTACAAGGTTACAATATCTTGACCTCTCTGGCAATGAAATCAACAGTCTGGAAGGCTTACAGAAATGTGCCCTCCTGGAAACATTGGATTTGGAGAACAACCAGGTATGCATCTATTGTTTATTCCATTTCTTTCACTCTTATGCTGTTTCTATAACTGAGGAATTGAAACAGCAATATTTTGGAATTGAAGGATTACTAGTAATGCTTCTAATATTTGTGCCTTCCTCTCTTTTGCTGTTTTTTTTAATCATAGTAGTTGTTTAAAAGCTATCATAAATGATATTGAAATTCCTTCCCAGCATTATCATTAAGCTTAATGTGATGATTTTGAAATGGTCTGCTCATTGTATCAAATCATTACAATGATAGTGCATTTTTGAAAATTGAAATATATTTTTTCATATACTCCTCTCTTTTACCCACTTGTTTTTGAGTAACTGTCGATATTCTATCCCTTCCTTTTTTTTTCTCTACCATTGTTTCTGATTTTCTTTTATGAAAGTTAAGTCTTCTTGTTCTTTTGCTAATCATCAGATTTTTTATTTTTTTTATTTTTTGAATCCATCAGGTTGCTGACATCACTGATCTTCAGTACATTGAGGGTCTCAAGCTGCTACGCCATCTAACCCTCCTGAGGAACCCTATCCAGGACATAGAAGACTACAGGCTATCCCTTCTCTTCCGTATACCACAGATGGTAGAGCTGGACAGGCATAGGGTGGAAGTAGAGGAGAAGGTATTATTCACCAGTCTATAATTTTTCACCATCTTTAGTATTCTTTCTATTGCAAAAAAAAAAAAAAATTGCATCTCACACTGTAAAGATTGTTCATGGTTGCATGTAACTATTTATGTGCTTATTTTTTGAAAATTTGATTGGCCACACCTGTATTTTATCTTTTAACTTATAGGGATGATATTTATTCATGTTTGAGTTTGTATTGACTTTGCACCTTTGAGTATATATATATATGGCAAAAAACAACATGTGCTTTCTTTATTGACATGGTAACAGTTGGAATGCATCTCTTGATAGTACAACAAAATATACATTTGACATTTTACCATGTTGGTGTAGACATACTATTCATGAATAGGTTTAACATGGATTTTCCTTTTCTTTTGAGTTCTCCTCCTTGTGTTTTCTTCACATTGCCCATCTCTCATCTCCACCATTGTTATCCTCCTGTCTCAGATAGCAGCAGTGAATCTATTTGAACCACCCATGGAGGTGATAGCAGCCCAGGACCACAGAAGAGCGCTCATATACTCCTCCCTCAAACAATCCAAGGTCCTTATGAGGTAAGAAATTGTCTGTTCTGGGAGGAGTTTACAAAGATTCTAAGTCGAACTTAACTCTAAGTCGGACTTAAAATTATGGAGAGCCATTTGTAGCCTTATAATGAAATATATCAAATAGCAAAAATTCAAGTATTTTAGACTTTTCATAAATTCCATATCATGAACATGACATCTCCCATGATAATAAAAAAATGGTTTGAATCAACATTTTGTATCTTTTAAAATAACTTTTACAAAATATTTTCAAAGATGCTAATGGCTTTCCATAATTGTTAAGTCCAACTTAGAGATAAGTTCAACTTAGGATCATTGTGAAACACCCCCCTGGAGTCAGAAATGCATGAACTCTTATCCTTCATCACAGAGTGAACACCCTCGTGGCTTCAAACAGATCAAATATATGTTTGTACTCGGCATATTACAACAACAAAAACTTTCTGTGCTTTCTCAACTATTGCAATCGGTGAAGCTTGGCAGCTAAATATCATTCAAAGCATCCAAAAATCTATCGATGCTGTATAATGCGTGTATTTAGTACCGTTAAAACTTATATTCTCTATACCCAAACACTTATGTACACTGTAACTGTGGTAGTTGCATGATATTGTTAAATCTGCATTTGTGTTGGTTTCGAGCGGGTTAAGTGCCCTTTTGAAAAATTATACATGATTGTTACATTAAATTTGGTAATTTAGAAATGGAACTCTTTTCTATTAATTAAGTTATATTTATCTCTTCATTTTTTTTCCTTTTTACAGCACCTTGCCAAGCATTGAGACACCCTACCCAGTCCTGGTCCTAGTTGGACCAAGGGGATCCGGCAAACAGGCACTAGCCCAGAGACTTGTCAAGGAGTTCACAGAGTACTTTGGACTTGGGTAAGTCTAAACACGTTGATGTATTGCTCTGTATATCATTTATGTATTCCATTATTTATGTAGATTTGAGGAGTACTTGCTGGTAAAGTATATGTGTATCAATTCTGTCTTCTTTTTCTTCTTCTGCATTTTGATAATTTCTTATTTGTGACTTATGTTACATTGCATTTTCATTGTTTTGCATTGGTCTAGTATCAAAATTTGAAACAAAAATTCCACAGCTTTATGTGTCTGTTTACTTTATCTTTTTGTCTCTTTAGCTTTGTAGCATACTGTTGTCCTTAGAAATACATACTGAGTGAAATTTGGGCTAGTACTAGCTTGAGTCAATTCTTGTAGTTGTGGATGGTTTATTAATGATCTTGTGTTTGGTTGCCAGGCTACTACACACTACCAGAGGACAACCAACAGGTGGGGAGAAGGATTATCATTATGTGTCATCGGAACAATTTGAAGAGCTGTTACAAGAGGTAAGTGATCTCGAAGCATAAGGTTATAGGTAACACAATCTTAAGGAATCGTGACAGTTAAAGATTAGATCCTGTTAACTTTAAATGAGAATCGGTATTCTAATTCCTATAATTTCAATTTCTATATAACTGTTTTTCTTGAGGATTAAAGAAAGAGTGACTTTTTATATACCATACATATCACAATGATGATTTCCTTTTCTAATATCCTATTAACAATTTTATACATGTATGATGCTTCTGCCAGCTTTGTAACATCAGTGCTGTCAATGAGAGCGTATTCATCATGAATATTCAGCTATGCGATGCAACTGTATTTAATATATCTGCATTGTTGACAGTGGATAAATAAGTTATGAAATATTCATGAATTTCTTTTTTGTTTTTTATTTGTAATATTGTTATGTTGGTGATGCTGATGGAATCTGTTTCTTTATCACAGGGTGAGTTCCTGCTGACATATCAGATCATGGAGCACAGGTATGGTCTAAGCCTTCAAGCCATTGAGTCTGTTGCTGAGAATGGATTAGCCTGTGTTATCACCATGGAGCTAGAGGTAAGCTACACATGGCACCTGGGACCTGTTTCACAAAGCCTTTTTTCAATGACAAATTACAAAAATCAGTGACAAATCTGTGGATAACCAATCAGAAGCAAGGATTTCAGTAGCTTATAACAAAAACTGTCGTTTGTCACTGATGACAAATTTTGTGAAACGCCCCCCTGGACTTGTGATATTTTGAATCAACAATGATGGATGGGATCTGATAGAGATAATGGAAGAACATGGGAAAGAAATGGAATCCTTGCAAAGTTGTAAATCAATGACCTAAAGTTGCAGTGTTGATTTAGGTTGTTTGCATCTAGAGCCTATGTTACCTGGATCTTTATCAAAGACAATAGGATTCAATTGAACACAGATTAATAACAATTTCTGTTTGGGAGTTGAGGGGCTGGTTGTTGAGTAAAGAGACCAAAAAATGTTCATGTTTCCTAGGATTGTCATCTAAATGATATTATAATCCTTATATTCCTTCTCGGAGTCAAATAATTTCATGGATTATTCACTAGTTATGTGATCCATGCCACATCAGCTTATGGCTTACAAACCTGACAAAGGTTCTTTTTCTTCACAAAGACATTCCACTGTGAAAGTATTCCTCAGTTGACATTTTCCCCTTTCAACCCTGCTTTCTCTTCCAGGGTGTCCTGACCATGAAGCTCACCCACTTCCAGCCGCGCTACGTCCTCCTCCTACCCCTAGATCAGACAAAACATGAGCAGCGTCTGCAGGCTGTAGGAAACCTGTCCAACACACAGGTCCAATTTGCTGTGGATCGGACCAACCTCTACCAGCACATGCATCAGAATAGACCGGGATTCTTTGACAGGAGCATTGACACAAGTAAGCTTCCTTATTGGTCGATAAACCTCGCTCTTTTAATGAATAAATTAAAGATGAACCTTGATCAAGTTTTGAGATGATTTGATTCATGTACATGGTTGCATAGAAAGGCTGAAGCCAGATCTTGTTTTTGCTATATTGGAGGTTATGCAATTGTATGTCATTTATCGACTATCCTTGTCATCCTTTTAGTGCCAGTCTTTCACAAAATCATATGTTTAACCTGGTAATCTTAGATGATTGCAATGTATGGAAGTTTCCTCTCCCATTGCATGAATTTTGCTTGCTAACATCTGTTCTTAAAATATTTGTATGTGAAACAAAATTCCACATTTGAAGATTATACGATAACTGTATGAGAAACTTTTTTCAGCTGTCTTGATAAAAGTTCAAATTCTGCTAAGATTGGTTCTTCAGTAAATCAATATGATGATTAAGGTCGACTCAATCATGCTGTGGAAGACTAGTACTGTAAAGTAATTCATTACAAGCAGTTGAAATAAACATAAACTCTCTTCTCTTGCACTCTTCAGCTGACCCTGAGATGGCCTTCAAGCTGGTCCGCAATCTGGTCCTGTCCTATCTCGGTCTGGAAGTTCCAGATAGCCCCGAACCCTCCAGCCAAGAGCAGGACTCGTCCTCTATCTACTCCCCGTCCCAGACCAGTTCTGCCATGAGATCGGAGACCCATGATTCCCCATCCTTCTCTCAGTCTACCGGTAGACAGCAGGGCCCACCGGGGATTGTAGAGAACCCTCCGTCTCCTACCAACATGAGGACATGGATGAAGCCGGTGGTGGATCCGCCCCCTAGACCTCTCAGCCAGAACTCTAAGAAGAGGCAGGAGGCGTCCATGAGTGCTATAGTAAGTGTACTTGATGTGACGGAACCAGCAAAATGATAGGCAGATTATGAATGAGCAGAATGGAAGAGAAAGGAGGTGAACAGAGACAGAGAGAGAGTAAATGAGGAGAACTTGAAATATATAGGGTCATGAGACAAAAATAGAAGGGACTGAAAATGCTAGAGAATGAGAAAAAACTAGATGGAACTTCGACTGCGCGCAGTCGAAAATGATGCCTCCGTCATAGAGCAATTTTACAAACCAAAACAGAAGAAATTTTTCAAATTCAAGTTCAATTGTAATCCATTAAGAGGTTCTCAGAATATCGTGATTACAAGCAATTTCTCATATACATATATGACCCTGATCTTTGACCTGATGACCCTAAAATCTACTCAGTTCATTGGCTCTGCAAGATGTCCTGAGTTAAATAGTAATCCATCTGTCAGTTCTAATGAGAATGCGTTCACAAGTTATTTTTGGATACATAATGAGCCCATGACCTTTGACCTCATGACCCATGAATCTACTCAGTTCATTGGCTCTGCAAGATACATACATGATCGAAATTTGGCAGGAATCCATCAATCTGTTCTAATGAGAATGCGATCACAAGCTATTTTTGCATACATAATGAGCCCTGTGACCTTTGACCTTTGACCTCGTGACCCCAAAATCTATTCAGTTCATCGGCTCTGCAAGATACATACATGACCAAAGTTTGGCAGGAATCCATCGATCGGTTCTTGAGATAATGCGATCACGAGCTCTTTTTGCATACCTAATGAGCCCTGTGACCTGTGACCTTTGACCTTGTGACCCCAAAATCTAATCAGTTCATCGGCTTTGCAAGATACATACAAGACCAAAGTTTGGCAGGAATCCATCAATCGGTTCTTCAGATAACGCGATCACGAGCTGTTTTTGCATACATAATGAGCCCTGTGACCTTTGACCTTTGACCTCGTGACCCCAAAATCTAATCAGTTCATCGGCTCTGCAAGTAACATACATGACCAAAGTTTGGCAGGAATCCATCAATCGGTTCTTCAGATAACGCGATCACGAGAACGGGACGTACGGACGGACGGACGGACGTACGGACGTACGGACGGACGGACGGACGGACAACCCGAAAACATAATGCCTCCGGCTACTTCGTAACGGAGGCATAAAAAGTCCAGCAGAGATTAAGAGATATATACAGGAATTGACGAAGGGAATTCATGATGAAACCATTTCCACTTTTAATTGATCTTCTGAAATCATATGATCATTTTTCTTTCTCTTCCTTCATGCTAACATATGATTTCATCAGCAAATTAAACATGACAAAAAGAGAAATGATTTAATCTTGTTGTGTTTTTATCTTTACACAGGAAAAGATCTCTTATGAAAGGAGAAAGAGTGCAGCCAAGGAAGCGGTTTCTGGTATTGTACCAAGACCATTGGATCAGCTCATTAACGAGTAAGTAGCTATCTTCTTTTTTGATGAATTCTCTTTGCTTTATTGCATTTTGTCATTTTGTCATTTTTTTGTCATTTTCTAGTCTTCAGATTTGTTGAGTTATTGAGAGCGAAACATCAGTACATTGGTATAGAGATTTTCACTTTTTTTTGACCAATCATTTCATTTGAATTAAGGTAGAATATCAGTTATGTCTATAAAAGGATTTAATACAAATTTCAAGACAATTGAAATTGCCATATGATGGAAATTACTCCACCTGTAACAAATGTCTTGTGATAAAAGAATAAGGTATGTGCTAACATTTATCTCTTAACTAATTATTTCTTTCTTTCTTGTAACAGACCACCATCCACAGCTCCAGGCAAGCAGTTTGCGGGGCTAGGCGATGACCCCACCCGGCCCAAGACGGTGCCTAACAGTGCCGTCCGCTACCTGGCAGGTAGTCCCGACTCCAGTGTGGCTACCTCTAGGAGCGACTCTAGAATGTCTGGTCTCTCTGATGCTAGGGGCATGTCTGCTTCACCCAGTGGATCACAGACATCGTTCCAGATGGTTGGGGGCTCCGACGGACATGCTTCTAGGCCTGGGAGTGTGGGGTCTCTACCGGAGGATAGGCCAGTCCTGCCTCCGATTCTAACTGGACAGAATTAATAGATACCAAACTGTTCTCTCCTCTCCTCCTGTCTGAAATGAATGAGGCACTATTCTCAGAGGGCATAGGACAGTCCTACAAACTTCTCAGCGGGACAAAATCATACTTATTTGTATTTTTCTCTCTTCTTTTTCTCCCACAATTCTCTCCCGTTTATTTATTTCTACAGTCATTTTCAGTACAGCTTTTACCTTCTCTATATGAGCTGAAAGAGCTTACACTCCTGTATGTATTTTATATTCCAAAGATGGGCCCGTCCTGTCAAGCCGCCTAATTGAATGAGACAGAACTTAAGTTTCTTTGTCCCAATCCCCCACATTTAATACCTTCTTTATATAGAACTTATTACAGATATTGGAAAGGTTGCCCTGAGAAGATTGTTCAAGTATACAAAATAACAGGTAGAATTCCCGGCCTCATGGCTTTCCCCTTTGTAAAGGCATGATTGTCACTTCTTAAATTCCACTCCCTATTAAAGCTCACACATCCCTGTGGTGGAATATTCTTATCAATAAAATGTTGGTTAGAGAGTACAAATCATGGCTTTTTTGTGGTCATTTTGCAATAGAACTGGCAAATATAACTAGCTGAATAAAGTTCTGATTATAGTGGGCATGCCTTCAGTGAGATTTAGGCTTTGCTAAAGACAATAAGTTAACCTAAAAGATCTTGTTTAAACTTAAAAAGTTGGTATGAAAGAATTTGTGTTTTATTTGTACAGAGTGTGTGATAAGATATTTACATTCTATTGTATGATGATGTTTAGTTAGTTCATGAAAGCATTGAGAAATGTGCATGCCTGGAACTACTGGAACTATATTACATGTAAATTAAGAGTGCAACATGAAAGGACTGTAAATAATTGTAAAAATTATTAAATAAATATATTTCTGTGTAAATATATACAAACTAGATAATTCTTTATCATTCCATCTCTTCTTGTTTCCAAATATGGTGTGATCATGTGAATTTGAGAGTGTATATATTTGAGTTCAACATTAAAGATATTGGTATGGTGTGTGAATGTTTAGAAGTTTTGGGGAAAAGTATGATATGATTCATATCTTATATTTTGCCAAACATGATTTTATATCTTATACTATGCTTCTTCAAAAGAACACTATTTTGTATTTTGGCTTTACAAGCTCAAAGGTCCATATTCTACTAATTCAGTTAAACCCGACCCTTGAATGGTCTAAAATCATGTTACCAAAGGAAAATGTGGATTTCAACTAACTTCCTTTGTCAAGCCAGATTTTCAACATAGCATCAGGTTTAAATTTTTAGTCGAATACGGGCCACTATGTGGTATTTCCTCACCAGCATTATTTTTTCTATTTTTCCCCAAGTGTAGAACATAATGTAAACACTACAATCATCAGCACACAGTATTTTGCATTTGACTAAATACTTGAGAATTCAAACACAAGTTCGGTACAAAATGGAGTTTACTTTTTTGGTATAAAAATTTATTTGTTGTCATTTATACAAATAATACATCAAATATTTCACAGGCTGAAGACTCGGTCATTTCATGAAATTTAAATTACTTAAAATAGTAAGTCGCTTTTTTTACACATCGAAAAAAATCCCTTCATCATTCATTCAAAATTATAAACAATTTACAATATTCCTTTATTATATAGGGCTCCAACTTTCAAGTTAAAATGATAATGATAAAATTTCGTAACTGTACACAAATTGGGCACTTCTTGTTTTTAGAAATAATTACAAAACTGTGTTGACTAAGTATACTAATAATACTTGTTCTGTTAATCAAACTGAATCATAAGGTTTTGGAAAAGCAGATTTTACTTCAGAATTTGTGACCGTATTGCACGTATAATGTAGCCCTTGAATAAATTTTAAAAAGTCACTGCATTTTTTCTTACACAATTATATGTTAAGATTGGGAAAAAATTAACAAGACATGTGTTGACTGCCTAGTGGACAAAATTACAGGAAAAAAATCAATTACTATATATACCGTACTCTTGTTCATGCCATGATGCATATTACACAATGAGTATAGTTATTATACCTGGATTAAAGTCATTACAAATTGACAAAAATTTCTCTTACAAAAGACGAGGTATCCGCAAAGAAGTACATAATTTCATTGTAAAAGAAAGAAAAACTAAACATTTTGTATCATTGGAGCCAATACTACAAAATTGCACTTGATCATAATTGGTTCTTCTATTTATTATGACTACCGGTAAAGATATACTGATTAACAGATATTTTCCATGAAGCAATTAAAGTGGGCTCATTGTACACAAACTTGAAGAATCTATACAGGTAAAAGGGCTGAGAAGGGTCAAATGTGGCTCAAGTGAATAAAGCTTTTCACACATTGTTTGCTAACAAAAGTTTGGTACAAGAAAACATGCACCTCACATTTGTATCATATGATAACCATTACATATATTTTGGCAAAGTTTCTATTTGTGCTTCAAACTGCACTTCAATGTTAAGTAAAAATGCACTCACTCAAAACAAATTCAATACATGCATGAAAACAGCGAAAATGAGTTAGCAGATTATTGGTGACCCAATCATGACAAATTTGTGTGCTTTTGACAGAGATCTTGTTCTTAATGTGTTTTTAGGCAAATAATTCCTACCAACTATCAAAATTTATTGAGACTTCTATATTATCCAATCATATAAAATGGTGACAAGAATTACACTGTAAAAATTGGTCCTGCCAATAAAATGACTTCCAAACTTCTTCAAAAACAGGCAAACTTTGAAATGTATAAAAAGCAAAAATTACAATTGACTGAAAACTATGGTACAAAAGCAGCTGAAAACTTGATGGAAAAGCAACATGGAGTCAATAACACTTGTTTCAATGTTCAAGTCATTGATTTCAACTCACATAAACATCATTGTTACTCTTTTGAAGAAAAAAGTTTGACAGCAGTATACAAAATACTTGGAAGTTTAGAGAATTAGAAACACTGCTGATGCACATATCATGATCGACTTTGTTCTTCTCTTTGTAGGAATCCAAAGAGTGATTAATCTGCTGGTAGTTTAAAAAGGGTCTAACAACAATTAATTGAACAATAATTGACCAGTGACCCCCCTCCCCCTCCCCCCCCCCCCCCCCCGAAAAAAAAGGTCAGCCAATGTGAAAAAAAAGAGAAGGTCAAAGGTCATGTGACTCATACCTTCTTCACAGCACTTCTCACAATGGAAGAAATACAAATGCATTTTACAACATCATCAAAATACATCCCTTCTCATAACATCTCTATATCTCAAATATTATTTTTGGTCAACAAAAAAATTGTTTTTTTCTAGTTCTGTTCACAAACATAGTTCATTCTAGTGATCTATGTACATATATAAATATAACTTTTTTTAAACACTGTACAATCTCTAACATTTACACAGTATAAAAGAAACGAAAGTGAAATACAGTTCTAATAAAAATCGAGATTATATGAGGGGTGAAACTCTTTAAATATGATAAAACCACAAAAAGTGGAAATATGTATATATATATATATATATAAACTGGCACATATCTTTTAGACTTTTCTTTATGGAAAGTAACATGGCCCCTGTATCATTAGAATATAAGCAGAGTACATTGATTCCATTTAAAAATTGCATATTATAAGGACTTCGGGATGGAGCCAGAGGGTGATTTAAAGTACATTACAGTATGATAGAATACTCTATTTTGAATATCAGTGACACTTTAAATTTACTGCACATGGTACTTTGAAATGTCACTTTCAAATGCTTTCATGATTTCAGATTATTCGGAATAGGAATATCTTTCTTAAATGTAATTACATCATATTAATTTTGGGAACATTTTCAGAATGATTTTTTTTGGAGAAATAATGAAACTATCTTTGCACAAGAAACAACAACACATTACACGCTCTGAATATCTTATCATGACAGACTTCTAAATAACCAACCGGTATAGAAAAACAGCTGGAAACAATAACAAACAAATTACGCAGACAGAATAGGCAATACAAGAAAATAAACCAAAAAGGATGTGTCTAAGTTACTGGGAAAGCTTAAAAATCCTTGGAAATGAGTTGTATCAAAACAGAAAAAATATAAAGGTAAGATTGGTTAAGTAAATTATTGATACAAGAAGCTTTGTTCAAAGTCTCTTTATTATTTTTGAAGGAAAAGTCTGAGAATTTTTTATTTTTAAATTCTGTCTTTAAAACATTACAAACTGCAATATTGTGTCAAAACTCTTATTGTGCAAGAACTTAAGAAATTATTGTCTCAACTGTCAACACTCCTTAAATCTTGGGAAATATCAGAAATTTAAGTAACTAATGGTTTTTTGTGCTACCTAATTTCAAATCAATAAAGATGTTTTAAATGGGGAAACATTCTTTGGACACTAAAACATGTCAACACAATTTTATAATGTGCCTTTGTTGCTCAAAGGTAATGACAATGACATAGCACCTCACAAGATAGAAGATGACATGTAGGGATATTGCAGCGATAGTGGAAAAGTGTTGATAGAATAATCTTCGCTGATAATTTGAGACATGATTGCAGATTGTCGTGATGGAATGTCAACGAGGCAAGACGGTGGCTTGGCTTGACGAGATGATGGCATTCATTGGTCTTTAGCTAACCTGATCAAAAGAGAAAGAAAAGGAAAGGGATACATAGAGTTAAATCTCATCACTGACTGTATACAGAGATATGAGTGTATGGTACTTTCATTTGATGATCTTCATACTATGCTACAACGAGACTTTGTACAAACTGCGACTGTATATTCATGTATAATCATAAAAACTGATCCGTAGCAATCAAGAATGTATCCGTGAATATCCCTTGCAAAAGCGTTTTAATATCCCTTTCTAAAGTGCTCCCAAAAAACTGGTAATAAATAATGAAAATATTGGTAGGTACATGTATATACCTCATATTAGACTTTTCATTTCTCTTGACATAAAGCATTGACGATAGATGAAGTGGTAAAGTAAGCCGTAAAATTACATCTATGCAACATCATTACACATATCATGAAAAACAATGTTACTTTGTTACTTCACCAAAGATGAAAAATTGTACAAAGATTTGTGGTTGCACATTTCTGCTGGAGAAACACTGACATTGCTCTCCGCACTCACCTAACTAGACGATACCTCCTCCACCCAGCCAGGGGTTAGATACGTATCATCATACTAGAGTGCCTGCCTTCTGAGCACCATCATGATCATCAAGCCAAGACAGCATCTCATCACTGAAACCATCCGCTAACGACTCGCCTGCATCACCTTGGTAGGACCCATCCTCTATACAGGGGGTGTACGACCGGGGTAGGTTCCTACTAGGAGGAGACAGAGAGGGAGGGAGGGAGGGATGGAGAATTAGATGGGTGCTCATACAGGATACATTAAGTAGTTATTGTTTTGCGTTTAACAAAAAAAATGATTAGGTAGGCAAATGAAATATACACATCTGAATAGTTTGTATGATTGCTTTTGCTGTATTTATTTGTTTTCTTTTTTTTAGGGGTTGAAAGTAGGGGCTGAAAGTAGGTAGGTAGGTGAAAGTCAGAAAAAAGTTGGAGGTGTTCTCTACAGCTTATTATCCTATTTCTCACTAATACGGGTATGGAAACATGTTGAAAAGCAGTATAACGGATGTTATGCCCATTTTCTATTAATCTCATGACAGCTTTTGTGTACATGTATACAGTAGATATGAAAAAGCCAAAAGCGTGTTACCCTTTATACAATTGCATGTATATCATTACGAGTCCTGACAGTGGTGAATGATGAGATCATTTGAAATAGGACCATGTTATACCATGATTATATGTCAGAAATGGAGTAGCCATTAAAGTGCATGTAATTCTGGACATAGCATGGTGGAACTAGTATAAAAAGCATGAGTTGTATTACTTCTTTCAACCACTGAATGCTTATATGGATATATGAATGTGCATGGGTATAAAATGAGCCGGTTCCAAAAGAGACGATGAAGAAAAGGAGGAGCCAAGCATCTCATTTTGCTCGTTCACAAATGACATGATAAACCTCAGCATTCTTTTTTTCTAATAATGATATGAGCATAATGCTACAATCTTTATTTACATACATATCTGAATCTTTCAATACACCAATCAGTGGGTACATGTAGGACCTTATTTCACACAGCTACTGTTTTAAAATGTCATTCCCACTTGCCATTCATTTCTATGTCTGCAGTTTCCTGCATTATACATCAATATGAACAAGCCTTAAGAAATAAATGTAATAAAGCCATGAAAACCTTATATTTATGGAGCTTAACGTGAAGCAATACATGTTAGGAGGAATGATAGATTTACTGAATTACATTACTTGTATGAATAATAAAATGATTTATAAATACTGGAATGTCTAAAAATTTCACAGCAAATTTTATTTTGAGCTCAATATATTCTTTGCCGCCTGACAATGCAAATATTTCACTACACATCATTCCCACCACCAGCATCACCAACAGTTGATCACACACTAACACTCTGAAAGACTACTATTAGTTCCATACAATATAAGCTATTCAAGTCATTTTTGTTGGGCCACCAAGATATGACTGAACCATTGCAGAGCACTTATTTCCACAAGATAGCCTGGATGATAATATATACTTGACATATCTTTTTATTACATCCTACACTCGTATATAATCTGATTATCTTTATCCTTGAAGTCATTTCCAGTTTGTCAGAAAGGTCATATCAATCCTGAAATCTTAAGAAGGCTGGACTGCCTGCAGTATGAGTGTTCTGATCAAGATATGTTCCATAATTGGTTTCAATCACGGAATGCCCAAAGTGACATATAATTCTTCAGTTATTGGATAATATTTCAGCAAATCACCTCAATATGATATATATAAAGAAAATAATGTATAGCTGAGGAAGAAGTATAGAGTACAAAACTTCATTTTGTGAAATGGTTTGAAAGAAATGCATTAAATAAACTGAATTGGTTCTAAAATTATATAAACCAGTTGGATGTATGGAAGATTGTTGTCCACTACATTTTCATAATTGAGATGTAACTTGAATATCGGTCCTAATGCCAGGGTTTTATAAAGGAAATAATGGCATCTGCTACTGACATTTTCAACATATTTTCATGAGCTGGAGAGACTGGGCTCTGTTTAATTTATGAGCACCAATTACATATGCCTTCAGCACATATTTTGCAAAGTGTAAGTCCTGACTTTTTTAAGCTTTGGTATTCAAATAGTCATGCATTTATCAAATAAATTGAATTACTGAGTGGAATCTTTTCACTAATAAGAAAATGAATTCCGCCATCGCCACCTTCTGTCACACAATGACGGATTAAATCAATTTCACATCTATTTTTTTTTTTTGCAAGTGAAATACCGAGCTCTGTTCATGAACTTGACAATGGAACTTTGTGTGAATAAAGTGAATCACTTCTAGGTAGGCAGGTGTAATTATAATCATATTCCGCCAGCGAATAGGGTCTAGGTCAAGGTTTACCGATAAGGGCAAAGCAAAGGGGAGAAAGAGGGGGAGGGTCTGGAGAGGGGCGGACATAGTAATACAAACTATTCCTGAGAGGTTAACACCTATACCACACCCCCAGGGACCTGGTCACTTTGTGAGTACCGTTAAGTCTTTGGATGCATCATATCAAACCAGGAGAAGTCATCAATTAGAGGATCAGGAAATGGAATTCCCAAATGGACCTAACCATCTTTCCACTCTCTAATCTGGCTTTGTCCTAAATGGTTCCGTCAGTCTAGACTAGATATTTCAATCAGAGGCGTGTGCCTTTGTAGGGTTTCATCGGGGAGGGATGAAGGGTTCTACCAAGGCGGAAAGTGAAATTATTTCTTATACTCTTGTTTCTTCCTCATTAAACTAGATAGTAAGAGAGTACTTTTCTTTCATTTTATGTCTATCTGGATACATTTGCCATTCTCAAGGAAACTTATTTATTAGCAAAGCTATCATTTTCTGGTATTCATCATTCTATAAAACATTAGTTGCTGTACTATCAACTTTAAAGTTTTTATCATTTGCAGATACTATCTACTTCTGAACAACATTCACAATCACTACAGGAAAAACAGATACCTGTTTACTCCAACTGATCACAATATTCTATTCAAAACTTGACAGCAAGCAAACCAAACATAGATTTACAAATGAGAAAGACAAGTACCATCATCTATCTAAATATAAACCTACAAAAAATCACATAACATCCAAACATCCAAATACCATAACAGAACTGAGTCACACAACAACAAATATTGTAATCACTACACTATTGCACAAAGTATAAAACAGCAAAGCAAAGCAAGAAACAAAAACAAAAATGTGAGAAACAAAAACAAAATTTTTGAAACTGGGTTTGGAGGATCTTACTCTGTGGGGTACTGTGAGGAGTCGTCATGCATCCATAGCGACGGGGCGGGACTGTCTTCTAGAGTAGAAGTGAAGGAATGAAGGCTAGAGTCAGTATCCTCAGAAAGACTGACACCCAAATGGTATTGAGAGACAGAAGAATAGAAGAGGGATGGTGGAGGTGGAATGAAAGGACAAGACAAGGAATGGACAATGACGGGATGAACAGTGAAAGTTTGAAAAGTCTCAGAATAGGATAGGAGAAGAAATTTATGATTTTGTTTTTAAGTTAAAGGGAAAGATGGAAATGCAAGGGTTTCATTGTTGTTGAAAGTTAGTGATTTAGAGATGAAAAGATATTGTGAAAGAGGGAAACAAGGAGTTTGGACAGAAATGCATTTGGAGGAAAATTTTGAGAAAGCGTGCAAGTGAATAAACATCAAAACATGCATAGCAAACAACACTGCCTGGAACACAAACACTTAACAATTTGAATGAAATATGAAAGCAGGCAAACACAATATTAGATATTTAAAACAGAAAACAACAAACTAAAAACTAAATTTACTACATTGTAACTACAACAACAAATATATACTATTCTACACGTTTTAAAAACAAAAGATATTCTGCAAATGTTTTTGTTTCTCTGAATGAGAGTCTAGTCGCTATTAAATGCTTTCATTTTTGCAAAGATAAGAGAAAGATTGCAAAGTTGATATTTCAGCAGATTTATTAAAGAAAACTAATCCTAAGAACCAGTATTTTCCAGAACTTTGTTCACTAGCTACATGTATATGAAAGCACTATCGAAGGATTAAATTTAAAGTAAGTCAAATAGTAATGTTGACTTTGAGTTTAAATAATCTAATGGTAAAGAGATTGCTATTTGTTCACGAAAAAACAATACGTCCAGGTTGAAATAATGTGTATCACACAATTCAGCAAGTGTATTGATAATAAATAAATAATGTTTTGTTTCAAAGAAAGAAGAATTTGTATACATGTAACTTGAGAGTTAATCTGTTAATTACAACCCAAAGTCTTGTCCCTTGTTTTAGTACCTCTATAAAACTGCCGTTACTACCTCACAGAAAGGCATACAGTATATACAATTGTAATATCAGTAGTTCCTTCGCACCAAATATATCACTTTGTTCAATATAATAATGTCTATCTCTCTTTCTCCTCCTCTCTTTCTCTCTCTCTCTCTCTCTCTCTCTTTCTCCTCCTCTCTCTCCCTCTCGTTCTCCTCTCTTTCTCTCTCTACCTCTGTCTCTCTTTCTCTCTTTCTCCTCCTCTCTTTCTCTCTCTCTCTCTCTCTCTCTCTCTCTCTCTCTTTCTCTCTCTTTCTCTCTGAACCATTGCTGAATTAGTGTTTTTTAATGTTTTCTGTATGGAAGGATACGTTATTCTACTCTGATCCATATCTATTACATGACCATTCCAGTTACATTTTATTCTAGTAATAAGTCCACCTCACAATACCAGATCACAGCAATCCCTGTTAAGCTTTACATTTGTTAGTAATGAATCGGTTAATCTGGTTAATCACTTAGACAGCATGAGCTTTAGTGATTAAGGATGAAAGGCTCAGAATGCCTCATTTATGATAACACAGATGAAGAGAAAGGACATAGCATAAAGTATCGTGTCCAGTTTCAGAAGGGAAATATCAAAAATAACATCCATACTCAAATATTTCATCATTCATGACCTTGTACATAAACCCTGATAAGTTTCTTTAAACATCATTCAACAATTGGAATTAAATTTGCAGACATGCAAAATCATATTCCCATTTATAGCAAGCACAATGTATTTGGCTTTGTCAAAACATTTTAAAATAATTTTGGGTATCTTTTAGAGTTACAAGCTGATTGTGAGCAACATCTGATATAGAAACTGCAATCAGAAAATCAGTTCCGGGAAAACCACTTTTCATACAAATTGATTTTTCACAATGATCGCCATTTCATGACTTATTTCCATGGAAAAAGTAACAGAAACTAAGCTGTCTAAATATGAAAACCAAGAGGTTCTAACAAGGGGGAAAGAATTCAATTTTACCTAAACTGGTTAACATGCTGTTATAAAGTAACAGAACCTTCCATATCTATTCAAGAATTCCAAAGGATGAACAAATCGAACTGATTCTGGGAAAAATGATAAAGCTATCAAGTAAAAGTTTGATTTTTTTTAAAAGTTTGTTAAGAGGGGTGAATAGAAGGATTGATTGTGTAGATTGTGAACGAGGCTTACCTGCTACTTGTTTGAGATGGCCTATTAGATCTGGATACCGGCTCACATGACATGGGTTGTGCAGGTGTGTAGTGGGCCTTGCTGATAGCTATGTTAGTCCCATAGGATTGCTGGACCTTGGGCTGGAGATGGACGGGCGTGGAGGTGGTGTACATAGAGGCAGCCTGAGGCTCACTAAAGGTGCTGTTGTGAGAGGAGCCGGCTCCATTGCTGGAGAAAGAGTTTGATGGGGAGAGGGAAGCCAGGGAGGTGTAGACGGAGAACTCGGATTGTCTACTGCTACTACTGGATGTTTGATGGAGAGGAGTGCGGGGATGCTGCTGTACCTGGTGGTTGGACAGATTAGAGGAGCCCTGCGAGGAGTAGCTGCTGGTGGAGCGTTGGGAAGAGAATGAGTTGTGCCGTCGTCGGGATGCTGACGTCATGGAGACGTCGTCTATACTGTTGGATGGGAGGGGAGGTTTGTGCATGGGTCTGTCTAAACTAGCATAGCTAGAGTCATTAGAGATCTGGGTGTCTTCAATATAATGGTGGCCACGCCGATCTAGACTGTAATACATAGAGTCAGTGGTATCAACCGATGGTCTGTGGTCTCTATCCAGCCGCGATTTCCCAAGTCTGTCAAGACTGGCATAGTTCTTGTTATATGCTTGATGGTTATCCCCAGAACCATTGCGCATCCTATTCGAGGAGTTCTTTTGAGTATAATAATTACCTGATGCATCCCTGGGTCTAATTTGAGAGTCTTGGGATTGACCAGAGTATTTCTGGTACTGATGGGAACGATACTTTTGGCCTCGATGCGAGCCATTATTCACCAACTGTTGATCCTCATAATCACTGCCTGGTAAGCTGTTTGACTTCATAGCTAAGTTACCTAATGAGGCATGTTTCTTAGGGGAAGGTGGCTGGCTGAGTGATGTTGGTTGCTGGTGGTATTCCAAATCATCATCGCTCAACGCAGGCAGGTTGTTTCCTTGTAAGGCATACTGTAGATCATGCATGGATGATGCATGCTGACGCAATTTAGGTGCATCAATGTCTGCACGTCCTAACGTGTCCTCTGGAGATTCATAATATCGTCCTGACTGAGAAAATGACCTTATCTTTCCTGGAGTATTGTAAGCGGGCGGGGGTCCTCTGTCTATGCGTCTTTGTATAGGGGGCTTACCTCTGCGGGGTGACGTCCTACTAATATGATTCGATTTAGTGGGTGCTACTGCAGTCACATCTCCCATCGATGATGAAAAATTAGATTGTCTATTTTGCGCCAATCGATTGCCATGATCTACACTAGTCCTAGGATGTGTCATAAAACCCTCTGGCTGGCTACGGGTGCTACCATCCGAGTAAGTGCTACTATCATCACGGAATGATCCTGAGTCACTATGATGGTTGATGTCCAATGTGGCCATGGACTGCAAGGATGTTTCATAACAAACAGGAGTCCTGGATTGTTGATGAGACTGAGCATGCTGCTGATGATGACTCTGATGCAACCTCTCCCTCCATTGAGGCTCAGGCTTTGCTACTGCCACAGGTTCATTCTCATTATCATTATAAATATCAACCGGTGTCACAGGGCGCACTGGAATCTTATCCTTCCTCCTGCCAAGGGAGGGTGATCTCCAGGCATTTTCAAATAACTGTCTTGGGACACTCTTGGATCTCAAACGACTATTTTTGTCCTCTTTTTTCTTGCTGCGCCCCCGATCACCGATCTTGAAGGGACGTAGCAGTGGTGGAGTGGAAGGTACACTTCGTTTTCTTGGAAGTGTGTGTGACTGTACAACCTTGTCCTCAGCTGGTGTTTGGTCTTGGGGCAAGAGACCTAAGTTCTGCTTCATATCGACTAGCTTTTTCTCAATGGAGTCCAACTGCAAGAAATAGAGAAGAGAAAGAAAGGGGATATGAATAGGTTCTCATGACAATGATATAACTGTGAATATCTGCTAACACTATTTTTAATAACTGCCTATCTGGCAATTATATTTGAACATAAACTGAGAGGCCTATTGTAAATTTTGTGGAATATTAATACTTCGCATATTTCATTATTCTCCTCCTTCCTCTACTTCTAACCAAAATGGTGACGCTGAATGTTACGTTAATTGCATGATAATCGAAGTTGGTAAATTAATAAATTGAATTGAAATACAGAAATGAAAGGTCACCTTTTTAGCAGAGCGTTTGTATGACTCTCTCCTTGTCTTGCGGTTCTTCTTACTGATGGTGGGATCATCAGCTAGTCTTCTGGCTGCAATGGTAATCTTGGATTGGATCTCCATCTCACTCTCAAGTTGATTCAGATTCTGAGTCTCCTACACACAAATAAATGAGAAGTATGAAAGGATCAAGGGTTAATTTAAGCCAAATTAGCTTTGATATGTGAGAAAGTACTATGTGTGTATTCTAGCATTCCATATTCCACCATGAAATATTTGTTGACAGTTTGTAATTTAGAATGCTCAAACATAAGAAGCTCAAACATAAGAAGCTTAATGAAATTTGTTCACACACTAATCCACAAAACAGAATTTTAAAACAGTTATATTTTAGCCACGTATGAATTTGGTATACTGACATGGAAACCATAAACATTAAGAGTAAATTGAGAGTAATTTTTTGCCCCCTCAATAAGTGACATCAGCACCATTGATGTGTCATCATATTTCCATGGCAACCAGCTCCGGAAAGTATACCTCTTTTAGAGAGAAGACTTTGGTTAGTCAATCATGCTTAATCAGAGTATGACCATTACCTGTGAGCATGACCTATCCCCAGAATTGACAACCCTAGCAGAGAGTGTGAAGGCAGTGGCCACACGCCTCTGGATCTTAGGCAGCTGTTCACCCGGCTTGCGTGGGTACTCCAAGGGTAGCTCACCTGTCAGCTCCTGTTAGATGAGAGGAAGATGAAGAGTGGGAGAGGGAGTGGGGGTGGGGGTGGATGAGGGTATTGGTGGGATAAGGGGAGAAGGTATTGGAGGGTGAGGGCAAAGGATGAGGGGGTATTCGAAGGTGAGAGCAAGGATAAGATTTAGGAATGTATTGGAGGGTTATGGCAAAGGGTAAAAAAGGGGTGGTATTGGAGAAAGAGGGCAAATAATGGGGGAGGGGGGAGTAAGGGTGAAGATGGGGGTATGGGAGGGTAAGGGCGAAGGATTGAAGGAGTATTGGAGGGTGATGGAAAAGAACAAGAGGGATTGAGATGGATTAACAACATGTCCTGTGATTCTTCATCAGACCCAGACGATGACAAGAGTTCTGGGTCAACGTAGAAGGATCGAAGGCTAAAGGAAGGAATCCTTAGGGTCTCCAGATCTGCTACATTAAATCTCTCAAACCAAGCATTTCACACGGATAAGCCAACATACTAAACTTGCATCATGGACAGATAGAGAGCAGGAAATCCCTAGATTCACTCTAAGCCCACCATTTCCACTTCCTGTACTGCTACAAGATATATACACGAACCATATCAGGACATGATGAAGATGTTCATAGGGCCTTTACTTTAGCTGCAAGAAGCCTATCCTTCTCCCTATCAGTATCTGTTACTCTCTATTCTACCAGGTATATGAACCATTTAGCATATATACCATGTAGGTTATGTGAATATAAACATATAAAAAGGAGAATATTCACATTATCTAAGGCTATGCCTACTTCTGCATGAATTGTACTGTCTAATTCAATGAATCACAGAGCTATCAAACCATATGTTTTACTCAAGGATGATGGAAAGGTTATACTGCACTTACTCATAGCTTTTCCGACTAGAAAAACAGTTTTTTAAAGAGTGTGAAAACACTGCACCCCATTAAGGCTCCCCGAGTGTGTAGTGAATGATTTATTACTTCCTCCTTAAAAATAGAACCTATTGTTACAGAGTAGAAAAACAAGTAATTATTAGCCCTACCTATTCTAAGGCATGACATTAGGACTTACAGCTTCGTTGATGCATATCTTCTTGAGTGCCTCCAGTTTTTCTTGAAGTCTGTCTTGCAGAACAGATTTTCTGGCTTTCAGTGCTACCACAATATCCTTCTTGGCTGCCTCTCCTTCTAAGGCTAACAGCTCTCTTGAGGCTGTGAATAATGCAATAGGAATTGAATGTTACACTTTAGAAATATTATAAAGAAAACCATGACATTTTTAAGAAACTTAAATCACTTAAGTATGATAAGAGGTGGATTCGTTTGAGCATCACGTCCTGACATGTTGGTACATTTGATTTCAGTTCCATCCAGAATATTCAAAATGTACATGTGTATGTACAAGGAAAATACAAATATACATGTATATTTATGTATATAAAGCATTTTATCAAACAAAATGAAAGAGATAGGCGCTATGATATTCAATGCATGCTTTATTATTCTTTTCATGTCTGCCCCATTTTTATTTCCAGACATAACCAGATACCCTTTTACTACACTGCTAGGTATAGGTCAAACAACAGTGGGATCGTGTTCCCCCCACAGACATGTAACCACACCATACCACGGTTTGATATAGATTGAATAGCAATGAGTCAATCAGCAACAATTAGAAGACATTATTTACAAGCCCTCTTCTACACTGCGTCAGCTGGCTGCTCAACAACTATGTATAGTCATAAGAATTCTTTTTAATCTATCATCCTCCTGCAAGACTATGAATGTCAATGCAATATAAAGAAATCATGCCATTCATCATGTCCTTTTTTCTTCAGAAGGTTATATGACACATCATCTTCTACTCAATGGATATTCCACATTTCAAATATGTGTTGAGTATCACCAAGATCTTCTATTCCTTTTAGTTTGTACTGAATAATTATATTCTGCCATATTAAGGTCATGAAGCACTTCAAGATAATGTAGCTCTTAAGCCCTTTACACATAATTCCCAAGGTGACATTAATGGAAGCTATAATGAGTATTTATTCAGGTAAGCAGCTCAGTATCAACTCCCACGATAGTATCTTGACCTGTACTTGTATTTCTGTCTCTTGAGGCCTGTCTTCATCAGACTGAATTGCAAAATAACTTGCTATTTTCCCGAAGCTCGAAATTGCTTTTTCAACAGAGTGATACGTTCATCACAAACTAGATGAAGATGGGGGCAAATTATTTCCCAAATAGCCGGTTATTTGAGAAACAACACCCAAGATTTCTCAGGATATTTTCTCTACCAAATAGCCCACTAATTGCAACTGCGGGCTGATGAAGCTCAAATTTGCTGGCTAATTTGAGATCGGGCTAGTTAAAATAGCAGGTTATTTTGCAACTTGGGTCCGATGAAGCCTGGCCTCATGTTTCTTGTTCTCAAGGACAGCTGTCCACTTGAAATTGTTGAGATTCCCTGTATCTTTTGCAATCAATGACATACTTGTTCTCCCACAGTACCAATGACCAGATAGATATGAAAGTGATACTCAAGACTGTTTATTGCAAATATACAGCCAGTACCACGAGAGGACAAACCTTTAGTATAACAGACATCATCTAAATTTGGTATTACAAGGTTTTAATCTAAATTTGTACACTTTCTTGATATTTTGGTTTCCTTTAAGATATTCTTGGAATTTTAACATTTTGACATTTCCTTGATATTGTTGTTTCCTTTAAGATAATCTAGGTACTTAAAGGCATCGTTTAACAACGTTAAATCTGAGATGCACAGCCATACGTGTTATCAGTGTCTGTGATTTGTAATACTAAAGCCCTAAAAAAAATTGAGCTTCAAAATGATCAAGAAGTGCCTCAAAAAAGTAAAAATCTTTGAATGACCGGTTTTACTATACTCATTTTCCCCAATAGACTGTAGTGTTATGGTTTTACAAATTTGTAATTCCAATCAGAAATATCTTGATAATCACACGGGCGATCGGTTTGTAAAACTTACTTACTATCGACAAAGTTACCGGATCCCTTTAAGCAATTAAATGACTAAATATTCAGATTTAAAAACTTACTGTTCTCCTTCTCCCTCTCCTTCTCTTTGACATCGTTAATCTCTGAAGACTCATCGTCCATCTTGCCAGCAGGTGTCTGTGGTTGACCCGGGTCACTGCTCACCTCGGACGTTTGAGAGGACGTCAAGGAGTTTGTGCTCTTGGTGATGTCATTGGCAATCTGGGTGAAGCTACGCTGCATAGAAGCATAGCGATCCTGCAGATATAACACAAAGGGTACCCTCTGATTAGTACCTTGGTGTCCTAATGACTGACGCTTCATGCATTAGATGTGGCACATTGCCAATGCATACTGAGAGCATCTTTGAAAGTAGTACACTATAGACGGACTTGTCATATTTTCTATTCTCGAGGACACGGTAGAATAATACTCTATGCACATAAATAGCACTTGTAAAAATAATCTCATGTGACTTGGGATTTTAATGTTATTTTATGAGGTACTTCAAGGTATATATCGAAGAAAGAAAAAGGGAAAACAGCTCTGTCACCCTATATATATTAATTGTACAAACATATCATTTAAAATAGAATACTTTGCTTTATCAATACTCAATTAATATCATAGAACAATACCTAAAACTGATCAATTTTCATTGATCACCAACTACATGGGTTGTTAAAGAAAACTTTACCTTGTTGTGCTTGCGGTCCAGATAGAATTGATGCTGGTTGACGGCCATGGTCCACATAGACCGGATCAGGGTCGGGTGTCCGTACCAGGCGTGGACGGTGGCGTTGCTTACACCAAACGTCCGTCTACTCACTGATACTCTGATGAAAGACATAGAACATTATGCTCGTTTAATACCTCAGAAATGTTTCGCTATTTCATTACATTTCACAATTGACAGTGGCAATGGTGTTTTTCGATAACAAAAACTCATAACCACAAATACACAAATCTGATCATGCACATTTGAAGGAAGACTGGAAGACTTTTTACACTATAAACTCATTATTGGTTGCAAGTTGGATAGCAAGGTCACAAGGAAACAAGAAAATTCAACATAAAAAACATTTCATATATCAAAATGATGCAGGAGTCACTTCACTGATTCACTGATCATGCAGCTCTTCTTTGAACAATATTCACAGAGGGGCAAATGATATCAATGCAATCTTTAAATACATGTACTTTATACATTACATACATATATGTCAATACATGGCAACACTTTCTACTAGTACAGATGTGGTAGGAGAAAAAGAAAATAATTTTGTATCATATTACCTCCAACAAGTTTGTTCTGTTTTTTACTGTTTTTTTTTTCTTATTTTCTTTTATGAATATACATACCACGCTTAACCTACATTGAAGCAACTAAAACTAAAGCTGTTCTTTTATTTCTTATTTGTATCGGGATGTTAGTCAAGATGTTCAAACAAAATTAGTCGCAACTGATCTTTAACTTCAAACCTAATCAGTGCAGCAAGTTCAAATTTCTATTTCTATTTCTATTTATAATGTAGCTTAAACCTGGTCTACAGACTTACTGAGTTGTAGGGTCAGATATAGCATCTGACAGATCATCAAAACATTCTTCTGGTTCTTCTAGAGCGTCGCGATAAAGGTTGAAGCTGCTCAGTGTATGCACCACTCTATCATTTACACAACACAGGTTCGAGTTTGGTGTCGAGTTTGGTGATGGGGTTTAGTTATTGGTGTTCGGTGTTTGGTGTCAGGATCACACAGGACACACAGGCAAGGCATACAGAGGTTATATGTATTGAGGGAAGCAAATAAAACAGACACACATTTAGTCATGCAATATAAACAAACAGGGCACAACACAAGTAAAATACATGTACATGTATCATATAATGACATCAAAGTCATGCAAAATATTGGATATCAAACTAATCTCTCACAAAAATGGACACAATTTTACATTTTGGAAATAAATATATGCATCGCTCATGTCATTCATGACACAAGTGAACATGCCAACCTTGATAAAATTATTATTATGTTTTTACTTCCAAGATGCAGGAACACACAATATCTTTATAATCTGCACCATGTCTTGTAAAACAAAAAGAAGACATGCAGCTGTCAAGTATGTACATGTACATACACACATACATGTAGCGACAATGCTCCAAAAAGAAAGAGGCATATGATAACCTTAAACATAACATAGTGCATCGTCGGAGCAACAAACACTGGGCAAACATTGATGTCAGAATCAGACGTCTGATTTATTGAAATGCTATTTACGCTGTTAAGATAAATTCAATACCTTCTGACACCTTCTTCGAGCACAGCAGTATTAACATATAAATCCTTTATTGGTGATGGTACACATAGATTCAGATATGCTGGTCTGGCTTGAAAACTCTGAATAGATACACTAATAACGTAGGCTCCAAATAAACTCCAGCTGAATCATAACAGTTGCTTGTTCCAATTACAGATATGACACATTTTCAAATCTACAACAGAGACATCACAAACATGTGTGATGCAGTCCTCAACCAAGTGTGATACAGTCCTCAACCAAGCAGGGTAGCTGCCCTATCACACAGATGTTGCGTTATGAATGTATGCACTTAATATCCACCCCTCTGTCGTTGACAGGCAAAGAGAAGAGACCGGTCTGATTATCGCATCATAACAACTGTCCTCTTCATTCCACCAATTGGCATGAATTACATGGCTGGCATGCCCATGCTTTTATACTGTATGAATCAACCTGCATCAATGTCAATGATGCCGCTCGCTCTGCCTACCCTAACTCTGCCTAGTAACGCGAGAAGGCCACCAAGCACATCACTGACTGACTGACTGACTGACGAGAAATCCTGCCCTCATTAATTTATGAGCCACTGTGCTAGACAGTCTGGATTTGACTATTCCACTATGCCGCGACCGAGCCTACAGCTGCATGAGATAGTCTTCTCCTCAGGAAATCAGATAATAGTCACATTTGTATAGCGCTTAATACTACTTTTCTCAGCGCTTTACATTGTAATTATTGTTACCCCAGTCATTGTATTCAATTGCTAATTTGCTAATGCTAATTGCATGTCCGTGTTTGAAAGAAAAAAATCCAGAGGTGAGTTTTTCAATTAGGATTTTTTTTGACATGTTTACTACCTGATGAATCACAGAAATGGGAGAAAAATGATTTTTGCTTGCGGTCTAAATGCAGCTTATGTATGGCATGCTGCAACCAAGCGAGCGAGCTGGATCAGACCATTCACTGCAGCTGCTGCCTAGGCTCAAACATAAATAGTCTTGCAGGCAGACAGGCTAGGGCAGCTAGCTAGGCTGCTCATGGCGTGTGACGTACAAGACCTAACATCAAGGCAAACCTTGCAACACTCAGGAAACAATCACATTTCTTGGGCTGCTAACATATTCTAAAGGTTAAAGTGATCTATGCATGTTCCTTGAAAGCCATGATGTGTCATATTTAGCTTTGAACAACCACTATAAAATTAAAGGCATTTATTCCTTCTCTGAAATTCTGAAAAGCATCACCTTTACCCTTATCATGGCAACGCTATTCAAACAAGCGAAACAAAACACACAACATGCAATTATAAATTCTTTCTTCTATTGCATGAGAACAGGTGACCACTAACGGGCACCTGAGACACATGGGTACCAAAATCTAAGTCAAAACCCCCCCAAATTCCAAAATGTTAACATTGGGCTTATTAATACAGACCCTAATATTTCAATCCGGACACTCCTATCAAAAATTGAGGTAAAGCCCTATGGTAAAAGTAGAACAAATTGTATCCCGGTAAGGTTTCTATTGTACAAACCAAATTGACAAGAAGAAGTAGGACCTTCCTGTGCTACTTGGGTCCAAAACATTATTCATTTATTCGCTGACATGCCTAACAGGATCACTGATGTAACCTTAGCTTGATAACATTCCTTAACTTGACCCAGAAGGAAGTGCTTGCTCATTCAAAAGAACCATATCCTTTTTCAATAAAATATAAAGTTCCAAGCTGTATCATCAGTAAAGCTGCTTATTTACATGGAAATCTCACCAAAGATGTTCAATATGTACGTCATGAAATCGATCTGTAGTGGGAATTACTGAGGATGTGCATTAGTCAATTATCGCCTACAGCCTAGGTAATAAATTATAGAGTGAACAATTCTTCCCCCTATTTTTAATGTGTTCACAATATAAATTGTCCTAATAAAAGTTAATTTGTTTCACATTTTTCATTTCAAAATTATATGATGTGCAATTTCTTTAAATTGATGCTATTATCACAGTAATTATGATATTATATATCAACAATATTAAGGTAAAATACAGTATGAAAGTAATATATGAAAGTCCTTGCTGCTATGCATGACTAAACCTTCTTTAAATAATTCCATTTTACAAGATAAATGCAGTGATCTCTTATGTTTGTCCCGAATGAGAGCATGGTCACTATTTACGCACGAATGAAACCTTAGTATAGTCTCTATCACCATGAAACCCTTTGTTGCATTAAAAAAAAATATATAATCTACAGGAAGAAATGAGAATAGTATCCATGAGAGGCGTGAAAGCACTACAAATCTATAGTTTAGAATCCAGGATACACTTGAGACTGTAAGGCGTGGTTGCATTACTGCTTTAAAGTAACTCACATATCATCCTCTCCGATGCATGTTAATCCTTCTCTAACGCAATTTCCAGTATTTGGGAAAAACTACACATTCCCTTGGTAACAAGTTTGTGATGGGGATTAAGTAGGAAAAAACAAGTGATTGTTGATAAAATAACACAATCCTCCAGTTTCCCCTCATTTAATAATTAATCAATGTCATCTTCATGTGGGGGTTGTTTATTTGCTTGAAACATAATGACAAGGCAGGGTTATCTTCACTAGACAAGATATCTTTTATTATAATTTTCTCTGAATTTCAATGAGATCATTTAAATCAAGGATTAAGATAAAAGCATAATAAAAATGATTTAACAATAATACTTTTTGAAAGTATAATGTTTAATCAATCATTTGTATTTAAAATTTAGTCATGTCATGTGAACAGGGATAATGATCCATTTTGAAATAAGATACCACTTTCACAAATTCAATAAACCTTTAACTCAAATTCTTTCCTTATATTTTTGTCTATTTCCTTTTGCTATTTTCCTTCATAATTTTCCCAAAATACACCTTATGATACTATTTGGAGAGAAAAAAGCTGCAAGATCCATTTCAAATTCAAACTGTCACTCAAGGAGAACTGCAGTGAACCTCTCTACAGACCAACACTGGCTGGCACAGCTAGGTGATCTTGTTTCAACCTCCAACATTACCAAATCAGAAGAGAAAGCAAATCAGAAGCTGATTTCCATTTCAACATGAACCCTAACCATCAGAGAACTTGCTACTGACAGAATCCATTAACCTCAATATGCAGACCCCTCCTTACACCTTTTCCAGAGCCTTAATCACAAGAGAATGAGTTGCAGAAAAGTAGCCGAGGCACAAGATGAATGGTCAATCTCTACACTCTCATGCTTTCCTGCCGATGACAATGCAAGATTTTTTTCTTGCTGGGAAACTTTCTGCTTGTATCAGACTCAAGCATAAGACGTTGAAGGAAGAGAGGATCATGCATTGAGGCACTCAATCTGGGGTGCTCTCAATCCTTATTAGTGCCAATAAAAATGTATGTAACAACATTTGTATCCTAAATTTAGATCTATCTGATAGGATTTTAGCTGAAATATCAAAACATAGAACCATGTAATTGCTACATAGTGCATGTCATTTTTGGTTCTAGCATATAATTCACATCAAACGTTAATGGCTCAAGTTATGCGAGTTCACAATCTGAAAATCCAGAGTTTAATAAATAAAAATGATATTTGAATTGATATTTGAATTGATATTTGAATGAGTTGTGGGCCCGACCCTACAGAAGTTGTAACTGGACAAAGCTTTCTCACTAATATTTTTTATTTCTAATGTTATCAAAGGTGAATTTTGATTCGCTAGTATGAGATTAGATTTGTTATACTCAGTGTACTCACATTTATTTCATGAGAACATTTAATGGAGGTCAATAGCTTTGCTATCCATCCTCTTGACCCTCTATACCTATCTTTAGCCTCAGGGTGGAAAAGGATTGTCTTTCCGTCTTGTACCGAGAAATGCATTTCCTTTTTTCAAATTTTCATCTCAAAGTACATTGTCTGTCTGGTCGACTTCCAGTATGAGTATTTTTTTATTTTGAATTCAACCGTCAATTTTTACAGTAAGAACTAACTTTATCCCAACCCATAATACTTGTGACGTAGGTGTGGGAACACGGTTCATACAAGACCTGATCTCTACCATTTTTTCCTCCACTTCCTCCATTTCCTACAACAAGCTTGATTATGGAGAGTAAGGGATCAAATATTAAAAAGAAAAATATCCTGGGCAGGGAAAACAAAGTCATCAGGTGATTTCTACACTATGACACACAAAAGTTAAAACAGTGCAAACTGCACAGCTGTCCAAGGCTCTCGTACAGTATTAAGAAGACCAGGGCAGTTCACATTGCTGAAGATTTGATTGCAGATTAATGCGGCGTTTATCAGATTTGGAGAGGAAGTACAGACATATTGTAAATCGCTTGGAGCATGACAGGAGTGTACATGTATGAGGAAACTGCTACAAGGGTTGTCAAAGATTGAATAAAGTACTTTTGTGGTTGAATTACCTTCTAGGGTCAGTGACTTCTATGGAAAACTTCCTGTCCCTGTAGTAGATGTTCTGTAGCCGCCTCCACTGGAAGATCTGGAGAAAACAAGTATAAGACAGAGATTGAGATAGAGAGAGTGAGAGAGAGAGAGAGAGAGAGAGAGAGAGAGGGAGAGAGAGAGAGGAAAGAGAAAGAGAGAGGAAAGAGAAAGAGAGAGAAAGAGAGAGAAAGAGAGAGAAAGAGAGAGAAAGAGAAAAGGGGGAGATGGAGATACACTCAATTGTCTGATTTAACACATTTAAAAAATACATAACAGCAACATGTTTAATTTTTTAACCAATTGGATTTTTACCAAACCTTTCCTGCCAGTATATTCTATTTATTTACTACCTAAATATGTTGTTCCTACTCAAAATCCATGTACCTTAAAAAAACAGCCAATGAACATTTGAGGCTAATTCTAACAAACAGATATTGGCACCACTTCACAACCAAGTATTAAAGAGCTCCTAATAGCTATTCATGGAAAACAAAACTAAATGTCAATTACATATATCCATTACATGACGTATACAAATACCATAAAACTTTCACTATCGAAAAGAATTTGCAAAACCATTTTATTATTTCTAACATTTGATATTTCATGGCTGTTATCCATAAGTTGTTACAGAAGCATATATTTTTGACAGATTCATTAAACATCCATCTACCATGAGAATTCATTGCAGCATCATAGAGTTCCTTGAAGGAGTTAAAGAGTTTTTAGTTCTGATGTCAAAGGCTTCATGACCAATGATACCAAACAGGAACAGAGAATTGTCTACAAAATCAAATATAATAATTTAAATGACATGATATCACAACATTAGGAGCAATTCTTAAAATCTTGGCTATGAGGTATGGCAGGAAAAATACTGTTTCTTTTTTAATACCAGACATAGCACTACAAATCTCCTTGCCGAACAGCAACAAAAGTACAAGTAAATTTCAGCTACATTTGTTCTTTTCTTCACATTTTGGCAAGTGTCAGACAACACTTAGAGTACCCCTTCTGGAACAACCCAGAGAGACCCAAAACAATTTGTAGATACAAGCCTTATACATGGGTAAACTATAAACCAGGCAACAGTCTTTAACTCTGCAAGTCGGGCAAGTGTAAGACAATATTTCATAACACCCTATAATAACTTGAGCCATTTTTGTCCTTCTAATCAATGAATCTACCTTTAGTCTTCCATCTCATGATCTGGATATTAAGCTGGAAGTGTTCCTCCCCTTTATCCCCTTTAATACTGCAATAATATTTAGCTTCCTCTCCCTAGAATCTAGATCATGAGTGGAAAGAGATATTTCCTACCCCTACTAGGAAGAGCCGGAATCATGCAGGATATAGAGGGACAAGCTAGCTGGGCTTGGCAGGGGCCTTCCTCACCAAGTTAACTCCACACCTAGCTACATACACGCCCACTCTTTCTCACAAATATTGCTCATGGCAAGAATGTTTTCTCACATGCAGCCTAGTTGGATTCACACTAGATCAATTGCTAGATCCAGCTACCTCATTTGGAGAGAAAAAACTACACCAACTTTTTCAAACCCTTACGAAAATACCTTTAAAAAAGCCCTTCCTTACAAGCTATAAAAAACCCTAATGAGTTTAGTTGTATGTAAGCATCCTTAGCCTTTATATATATATATACTTTTAGGTTATTCATCCTAAAAGCAGGAAAGCTGTTCATAAAATTGACAAAATTACAAAATAAAAAGGACAAAAAAGAAATTTTAAATTCTCAACTGAGATTCAATTAAAAAGCTTGCATGGATTTTGATTCTTGTTCATCTTCACATCCTTTCAAAACATGTCCCTGTTCCAGTGTTCCCAGGCCGGTACATTTAGCTAAATTTGGACAGAAACAGTCAACAGGATAACAAACAGGATCACAAACATGTTCTGGATGGTTCAATGTGAAGTCTGAACATGTCCCAGGCAGGCCTCCTAGCTAGGACAGGATGCTTGTCTGAATTAACGCAGTCATGTCACACCATGCTTCCATACCAAGGACCATAAAGACATTGCTTACATCTCAGGATTACGGGAAGCATGCGATGAATCTCACACAGCTAGGGGTGCCTGCCTTCATTCATGAAGATTTAGTCTCTTGATCCATTAACCTAACAGGCCAAACACCATCCTTTGGAAGACCTACTGTAAATTAACCCAGAAGCTTCATGTGCATGAAACTCCCTTAAAACCGAGGTTCTTGTTAGTAAGTGACCTTCTTGAGCGGTCCATATTTGCACAATTTTCATTACTGAATTCATAAGTAAACGTGAGCAATTCAGACAAGTTTCTTGCTGCTATAATGGCCGTCATTGCAAATTCGTGATATATTTCTGGTTTTAACATACTTAGTTCACTATTTAGCAAACAAAGATACAAAGTCTTGAACATACCTTCCTGGGTGTAACTCTGTCGACCTGGTCGTACTGACAGACTCCCTTGAAACTGAGTCCTAGCCACCATGGAATACCTTGTTTATCTTTAACTTCGTAGTAATGAACTCCGTAGGTCGGCAGGCCTTCAACCAATTGCATGTAACTGTACATTGAAAGAGATAGAAAAATGTGACACTGATTACGTAGGATGCTCACAACAAATGATAAACAGTATAATTAGGTTAATGGAATAGATACACATAGGTGCAGCTATCACAATCCCACGTACAAACCGTTTAAGTGTATTAAAATTATTTCCACATATGTACAAAGACTAATTACTTCAAATTCAACATGAAATACACTAAAGAAGAAACAAAATAAAGCAATATAGAGTATACAAGTTAGAACTTTTATGTTTAAATTGAGTTTGACATGGAGGAAACTCAATGCCAAAAGGCTTGTAAGCAATCAGAGGTAGTATGCATAGTATGCAAATTGAAGATCGAACCAAGTAATGCAACTTAACTTTTTTTCACAATAACTCGAGACAAGAATCACAACAAATTACATTATGCCGTGAAACTTGAGAATGATGAATTCTCATCTTTCATCCCATAAATGAAGGCTACGAGGGGAGAAAATCAATATTTTTTCAAAGAGATGACAATATAAATGGAGTGTTGATTACGAGCAGCAGATGGCTTGCTGGCACTCTAAGACTATGGGGGATTCATGCCTCACAAAGTCTCCACTCAATGCACCAGTTGAATGTAATGGATGTGGAAGCAAAGCTGTAGGCTCGCCCCTTCATTATCACACCCGCATCTTAAGATGATGTGGAATTATAAGCGTCCCTTGCGGGGAATGGAGCACAGTCAATGTGCTTGGATGAATGACGACTATGACACAAACACACCCCTTGGCATAATACATGTACAAGGATGTAACAATTCATATTTCTCTTACACCATTGGATAATAGCAAGAATGGTGCAGACTGTAGAAAGATACCTAAAAGCCTTCTGATCCTCAACTTGCCTTGTTGGCGTTTGTTAGCTTTTTGAAAGACTTCACTTATCAATTCTTTAGTTCAGGATTTTATCCTAATATTTCCTTTCAATTATTTCTCCTTTTATAATCAGGGGCAGCTCTAAACAAGAATGAACAAGAATAACTTCTATTTCATCAAAAAAAACTAGACATACTATAAACCTACTAAATAGAATGAACTTCAAGTCACCCTTTACATCACGTAGCAAACTAATTTGAAATGCAATTATTTTTTAGAACACAATATCTTCATATTGAACAAAGAAATATACAGTATCCTATTACTTTCAATCAATTTACATAATTCTGAGGGGGGTGGGGTTCAAACATCAAGTATTGTCTAAATTTGGTGTTCGACATGCAATTGTACTCCTCTCCCCCATTCTACTCACCACAATACATCCTTGGTAATTTGTAAATTTATGCAAATTAAAGCTTCAATAACATGTGTCTATTGTCAGCACCACTTTGTCATCTCCCCCAACAAAAGGGTACCACCAAGTGTCTAAACTCTCAATGCCATTTCAAAAAATCACCCCGTGCATAATTCATAAACAAAACCTTGTCTGACATGTCTGTGGCTTGGAGCGGAAGGGATAATCACTGAATCTCGAAATGCATGAAATCAATACCAGAGCTTGTGACTACTCCAAATTTGCAAGCTTGGTAGCCCATAGGCAGGCTAGCATTTTAAGTTTTCTGAATTCTATCATTATTCATGGTTTTATTGTCGGCTACCGGCGGCGAGGTCTGAGTTTACATGACAAAGACTTGTGACATGTAATAAATCAACTAAATCCAAATCAGAAACAAAAGAAAGGTTTTAAAAAAAAAAAGTTGGATATATATATTTTCTGAGGGGGGGATTTGATTTTTATGCATGTGAAGACCCTACAAAAAAGTAACAGAACAATATTTTCAATCATAACTCTACTACTCTGAAGTCTACTAATGGAAGTTGGAATTCGCCAACGCAAACAGATTTAGCCTACAAATGCTCAATGCTCAAGTAATGAGGCATGCGTTAAATAGGTTTGCTTAATGTTCTTTATCATGAATAAAAGCATAAACCATTTCCTAATGCTTCCGCTAAAAAATCTCATTAATCATTGTGTGTATATCTTTTAAATAAAAACAAATCATAGTAAACACACTGGAAATATTGCATAAATTCTTTTTTTTTTTAAATAAAACCCTTTGCTGCTTTAAGATGTCTATTTTCCAGATAGCAAATAGTATAGTATTAATGACTGCTTTGAGAGAAATAGTTGTTTTATTACGCTCAAGGGAAGGTTAGAATTGTGCTATTCCCCGAGGCTTGCCGAGGGGAATAGCCCAATTGTAACCTTCCCGAGAGCGTATGAAAACAACTATTTCTCGAATATTAAAGCAGTCATTAATACTTTTATATGCCGAAAAAAAATAGACTAAAAAATAAAAAATAAAAAATAATTTACATTTTTGTCGAAGACGGGATTCGAACTCTTGCGTACAACAAGAGGTGTATCGAAAACCAACGCTTAGACCACTCGGCTATCGCGCGCCGTTAACATGCTTGGCAGTTTTCTCCAATATATACATTAAAATGGATTGAAAACGGCTCCGCGTGAGGGATGCTTCGCAAAAGCTCCATGAAACGGACCCTTCTTTTACTTTTGCAATGCATATTGGCACGAACTTAGATCAAGATCTATCGGCAGATGTTGTTTTTTTGTTTTTGAGAGTTAATTTTCGTCTTCATGTCAACAATGCAAGATAAAATTGTCGGTAAGATCGATCGAGATTCAATTGTATTGAAATTGCCGACCAATTTTTCGCACACGTATGGTATCCTCCATCGCTCAAACCATTTTTTAACATGTAAACCTATGGGGTAACCATGGAGACTGACCTATTTTTTTAATAACCATGGTTATTAAAAATATTGAAATGTTTTAAGCATGGTTACCGGGAATTTTACAGGAACAGTTGAAGTTTATGAATGCAATTCGACCAATCAGATGGCTGGATTTCTTAAGTGAGGTATATAATATTTCATAAATTACTATTCTGTCGGTCGCGTTCATTCTTTGCAAATGAATTACATCAATTTAAGAAAAAAATACTCCATATTCATGTAGACAAAGAAGCAGCGACATTTCCCCTACAGGCATTTTCTTTCCACTAAGTTCAATTTGCATGTGTATTGTGTAAGAGTAATTACTCAGCTGCTATGGAAATCATTATAAATCAACAAAGAGAGGAGAATCTAGTTACTAAGACAACCATTGTTACTTTCCCCCATTAGGAAGCCCATATTCATTTTTCATTAAATCTACAGGGCAAATGAGCTCACAAAGAGTTGGCTTTTTACAATACAGTAATTTCCCCCTCCCCAAGTAGATAGGGAGTGAAATGCATTAGGTTGCGTTTATCTAGCAAATTTTTGGCTAGAATCAGGTTTCTCAAACGTCTTTCAGGCAAATTTAGAAGTAGATAAACGCAAAGCCTTTTTCAAACGTCTTTAGATATGGGCATATCTAAAGACGCAAAAAGGTGCGTTTTGAATGTGACATACAGCCAGAATCACGTTTCTGAGAGATCGATAAACGCAAAGCTAATTTGAACCTCACATACAAATATGATCACCCAGGTGTTGTGTACAAGCATACGTGTGAAGTTGACCTCCGAGAAACTGTCTGCTTCCCGGGTCAAAACAGCTGGGCAGACACAAGGCCTTTATTTTGAATCGTGAAGGGTCGATAAACGCGACATCCCGCAAATCACGATCGTATAGTGGGGTACGATAGTGGGGTACGATAGTGGGGTTCGATAGTGGGGTACGATATGTACATATCTAGTGGCAAGCCTAGATAAACGCGCTCTTAGACATCTAAAGATTTTGATCTTGAAATTAGTGTGTGTGTGTGTGTGTGTGTGTGTGGGGGGGTATAAATAATATCTATCATAAAATCCATATCTGAAAGCTATGACTTTGCAGGGTTATGAAGTTGATTTGCATACTTTCTAAAAGAGTCTTCAAACTCTTGAAGATATTCGAGAATATTAAAAAAATTCTCAATTGAAGTGTCAATTTTGAAGATGTCAATGATGTATCAAAATGACAAATCCATTGATTTTGAGCTAAAGAAAAGAATTGAGTGTCTCGAAGCTTGCTCAATATTTGAAGGGGTAGGCAGCACTTGCCAACATTTTTCTGAAATTTTGACTGTCATACTCATTTTTTTCTACACTTTTCAGTTTTCAGTGATTAAATCAATGACGCTATGATTACCTTTGAAAGTCGTCCGTAAACAAATCTATTTGTCACTATGGGTGTGGAATACTTTGAATACCCATTTCATTAGGAGGCACTGAGCAATGTTAATTGCATACAAGAGCCATTACAGCGGGGTGCTTATCAACAAATCAGCCGACTTACCGCTGAGATGATTTAACAATTATACCTCTCCTTGCATTTGAAATGGACTATATATATACACAGTCATGCTTCTACACTGTGCAGTACATGTACTCCAGTGTTGACTATTACAGTTATCATTGATCCGTATATGGCAATAATATCAAGAAATACAAGCACACTATAATCTATTAATAACAATGCCCTGTTGGTTCTATGCAATGAAAAGGTGACTATTTTGTTAAATCAATTTGTAACTGAAACAACTGAATACATTAAAAAGTACTAAAATTCCTATTAACTTTGTTGTGACGACAGGAAGTTAAACAGTTCTCCAAGAATCGTTACTCTATAACTAGCTTCCTGAAAATAAGGCTTAGTTTCCATGTCAAGAACATATTAAATATCAAAACTAGAAGAAGATAAAAAAATCGGAAGGTCACAATTTAAGTATATCTAAACAGATAAACAAAACTTAGTTTCCCTGTCAAAAAGAAATTAAAATATCAAAAATTAAAATTAAAAAACGTATCAGAGGGTTACAATCAAAGGGTTTGTCCAAGGAGCCACAGCGATAGAAAAACTTGTTCAAACAAGAGATCCATACAAAGATTTCAATTTGCCCCCTCCCCCCACTTTTTTTTGGGGGGTGGGGTGCTAATGTGCTAATGCTCATACATGTATTTTTATAAATGTGATTATTTCTTTCCA